GGTAGGTAGGTAGGTAGTGGTAGTAGTAGTAGTAGTAGTAGTAGTAGAAGTAGAAGTAGCAGTAGCAGTAGTAGCAGTAGCAGTAGCGGTAGTAGCAGTAGTAGTAGTAGTAGTAGTAGTAGTAGTAGTAGTAGTAGTAGTGGTAGTAGTAGTAGTAGTAGTAGTAGTAGTACGTAGTAGTAGCAGTCGCAGTAGCGACCCTCGTTAGCCAATTTCGACGTGTAGGAGCGTAGCTTAGTTGCCTTGGAGGACCCTCGACGTGCTTGTTAGCTGGCTTGGACGACCTGCAGCATCCTTGTTAGCCAATTTCGGCGTTGGAAATAGTTGGGTTGGCGGACCCTCGACGTCGTTGCTGGCCAACGGCTTTCGAAGCTTCCTCCGGAACTCGTGTCAGGGACTCCTCCTGAACTCGGGCCATTGCTTGCAACAAAAGGCTACTAAGAAAGATTCCTCTGGAAGCTCAACCTGTGTGATGCATGCAGGTCGTGGTTTCGTTGCCCTGTGGAGCCCTGTGGAGTTGCCACGGCTGTTTGGGTGTCACAAAACTACTACTATTGCGACTGCTGCTTGCAGTAGCATGAGTGTGTGGTGTGTTTTTCGTGTGTAAGAGAGGAGAACGAGCATGGCTTCGTAGAGCAACACGAGCATCGCTGCCATCGCCACGACCTCCCTGTGTCGTACACGGCCACGATCAGAATTAGAAGCAGCAGTCGCAACACATGCGTGTGCTGATAGACACAAAGGTTGTGACAACTGGAGTAATGTTTTACGCATGAGTGGCATGGCAGAAGGTGTCTCTCTTCCTTGCAGTGCAGCCTGCAACATTTCATAATTCTTGACAAACAGTCCTCCAAGGGAATGGAGTATCTCATCAGTGGGGGCGGCGGCGGCACTTGCTGCTGCTGTTGCTGCAGATGTTGACAAGTCGTTCAATGGGGAGGAAGCCTACGACGATGAAGGCCAGACGCCAAAAACGCTGCTACCAAGCTGCAACATCAAGAATGCGGGATTTTTGGACTCGTGCAGCCAATTTTCGCCACGTTTGGGAACAGAAAGGCTTAGTTGCACAGAAAAGTAGCAGACCGGCATCGATCTTGGGAACCCTGTTCCTTGAGCATACCGGCTTTGTCAAGGCGACTTCCTGGGTGTGTTGAGGCTACTGATACCACTGACTGCTAGGCAATTTGCGGGTCTCACAATAGTTCCAACTCATATCAAAATACCAAGACCAAGCTTGTCCATGAAATAAGGGATGTGCAAAACAACTGCCCGAACTACAATCATGACTTCATGTGCAAATTGCATCTCATGGCTGACCAACAGCTTAGCCCCGCGTTTCACGGAATCTATGTGGGGATTCAAAATCCCCCTGGTTAGACCGATCTGATACCTGAACGAAAGCAGGAGATCCGCACCGGGAAGAATGGCCATGTAGCCATGCAGACTCACTGTTTTCCGGACCTCTGCTGTTCAGAGTACCACTTCGCACTTCGGTGCAGGGCTCGGGTCTGTTGAGGAATCGGAAGTCCGACTTCCTCAGGAATGCTGACTGGAGGCCTACTACCTCCGAGAGTCAACCAAAGTTGTTGTGTCCAGCAGGCTTCTCCCTTTCCAAGAAAGGAGTTGCGCGACGCAGGTAGCGACGACCTGCGGCTCCGTTGGATATGTATTGTCTGCCGCGATGCCTCGTGCTTTACTGCTGGTATATGGTGGTCGTACAGTCACATCCACGGCCCAATAAGCGAACAGTGCCAACAGAAAGAGCCGTGTCACTGTGTCATTCTGGCACAGGCTGCCCCGGGTTGTGAATATGTCATCGAAACCGAACCCTGGGACAGCTTTGCTGTGCTGCGGCAGTGCTGCGGGCACACAGGCAGTCACAGGTAGTCACAGGCAGTCCGACAAAGCCCGATGCAAGAAAACTGCGTAACAGTCTGATGATGGCGCTTCGGAGAGTTGCCTGAGCATGTCTGAAGACCACTGTATGCACAGGGCCCATGGCCCCATAGCAGGCAGAGCGACGGTCGGCAGGACACGAAGAGGTCCTTGGTGTGCATTGAGCCAAGTGTCAGCTGCCCGCTCCAGTCGACCAGGGTCCGAAATGTGGTTTAGTGATTCGCTTTGTTTGATTCCGGAAGCACTTTTGTGACGGATCTGTAAAGACTTCCCAGGTTGGGGCAAGGTGTGCAACAGCTGCGTTCAGAACAGGCTGGAACTCTGCAGCGAGGGTTGCACTTGCGAGTTGCGAATTGCTGGAACGCTTGGAAATTTTGTTTGCGTAGGCGAGACACGCCAGTGAGCTCACAGAGAACTCCCGCGCAGTGATCTTGGCTTCGTTTGGATCAGGTCCTAAAGAGGTGTGTATCAGCAGAGACAGCAGCGTCGCGGCAGCCCCTTGCACCTATTTGTGCTGACTACCGAGACAGAGCAAAGACGTGTGCGCCGGGGCGCCAGAGAGAGTCTTCCAATTTCAAGCAGCTTGGAGGTGTCGTGTCTTATGGCATTATGGGCGAGGTCAGAGCATCAACGACTCGCATGCCCAGCCGCATCCCAGCATCTGGAACATCTGCAAGACATGGGATAACTACTCTTGAGTCCTGGCTGAGAAACCAGGCACCTCGAGCAGCAGCAGCATCTGGAGAGGCTAGAAACTCGCATGGACACGGCCATTCAGGTGCTTCGATGTGTTTGCATTCGAAGACCCCGCTTGTCTTTGTCGATAGATGGGTGATACGCAGGCCCTAACCTTCGAGTGCCAGACGTTGCACAAATCTTTGCCGCGGATAATGCATACCTCGGCACGTCTCTCAGTCACGTCTGGAGAGAGCAGCTAGGGGCGGTGTACGATCGACACCAGACACAGGCGTCCGTGGCGCTGGGTGCCGAAGGACGCATTGGCGGAAAGCGACCGCGGGGTTTGGGGCTGGATGCTGTCAGTTTGCATGAGGAGATGAGTCGGGGCGGATGCGGTCCTCTTCCTCTTTGCGTGGCGGAGACCGGCCTCTACGAGGTTTTTGACTTGCATGCGTAAAACTTTCATCAGGAATCTATGGGCTGTGTCGCTAGGCGCATTGAAGCAGTCCTCGTCATTTCTCAGTGCCGAAGAAGGACCTGTAAATTGAAGCATGTACTGCTGCTTGCAGACTGCTGTTTCGCAAGGAGATGCATCCGGGCGGGTGCGGTCCTCCAGCAAAGGCCTTAGGATGGCGTTGCTTTTGAACGCTGCCAGAGCTTCGTGAGAGTTGAAAGCCAGGCCTTCCGCCCTTCCCACCTCAGGAGCCAGCTTCTCAGCCCCGACACACCCGAGACCCGAATATGTGACAGTAAGTTGGCCATCCAAGGTTGCGTCGTGTCAGGACCGCTTCCAAGACCGAGGAGCTAGCACCCACCACAGAGGCTGCATGCCACGGCCGCCACAGCCACCATGGCCAAAATCATTGCCCCCCAAGTCATCACAGTCACCACACTCACAGCACGCACAGCGCTCACCACCCGCACCAAACTCACCAAACTCACCAAACTCACCAAGCTCACCAAGCTCACCAAACTCACCAAACTCACCATAGTCACACTCACCAGCACCACAGCATCCCAGTGCCTTCCCAGCCACCTCCCCAGCATGCCTGGACGTCTGCGGCTCAACACAAAAACTGGGCCCTTCCTGCGCTGCAGTATACGCCTATGCGCATCTCAGTCCGCTGAGGCAATTGGCGACGCCACTGCCGCCACCAGGCACCAGTCCTGCAGCCCACGGTCTGCGACATGCATCCTTGCAGAGCCGTGCAGGCTGCAGCGGGGCCACGTGGCCCAGCCATCCCAGCCCTGCAGCTCCAAGGCAGACACCGTGTCTTATGACCCGTGAGTTTTTTCAAAGTCTTGGATGAGTCGATGCAATCAGGCAGTTGCAGGGTGGCCTGGCTCCTGATGCCCAGCTTCGCACCCAGCTTTGCAGATCCAAGAAATCCGCGGGGCCATGTTTTTGCACAGAGGTGCCACCATCCGGACCCGGACGTGATGAAGCGCTTGGAGGCTGGCGGCTAGCGACCGCGAAGATGCAGCCTGGTTTTTTCGGCTCAGGCCCTGGAGTGCCGCTTCAGAGAAGATCGAAGAGGTCGGAGGCTTGGAGCAGAGGTCAAAATTCGCCTCTCAGAGCTCAGGCCACGAGTCTCCAACTTCCCCGAGGAGTCCTGGCACCGCCCCCCCACTTGAGGTGCTTGAAGTCATTTAGCCAGCAGCTCGCATTCTGTGCATGGGCTGCTTCAAAGGCTTCACTGCCAGAGTCGATGGGGAGGTGCCGGGGAAGTTGTAAAGGCTTTGCACATGTGGCAAGCTGCAACACGGCAGCTGCCTTGTCAAGCAACTACTTGTATCGCTCAAAGTGGAAGAGCCTGCGCATTCAAACACCCTCTCTGTTCTCTCTCTTCCCAACAAGGCATGCTCGGCAAAGTTTCAAGAAACGTGGCGACTGCATTCACAAGAACTCTTCTCGGTCAGTCGGCTCGCAGGGCATGTAGATAGCTCTGCTTTTAGCAGCGGTCTGTGAGAGCCGGGCAACCCGCATCAGGACGCAGCACCTGCTGGAAACATGAGAACTTCACGAAGTCGAGTCAAAATTCTGTAAGTGAGACTGCTTGTCTCAGGAGGAAAGCTCGGCGGCCATGACAGAAGAGTATGTCGTGGCCACTCAGCAGACCATCGGTACTCTAATTACCAAGCCGAAGATGGCGGACAAGTACCTCAAGAAGCCGCCGTTCAGGCTGGGAGTATTAAGACTCAAGACGCGCAAGAGTGTCAAAGTGTCGGCTCCAAGTACAGACGACCTGCCGCAGGTTTCTTCATGACCTCGTCATGGAAGTTACGCGAACCACAAGTTTCGCGCAAGGGCTCTACAATACAGAGGAGAGCGATGCAGAGCAGCTTAAAGAGAAAGGTGCAAAGCTGGACTTCCTGAACAAGGCAATCAGCGCGACATGCTTCGCCCTAGGAGAATCAATTGATGTCTCCGCACCTCGTCGCAGGATGTAGTCTAGAGTCTAGAAGCTGGAGATTGCGCAGCAGACGAGAGTTGTCTAGCATGTAAAGTCTGCAGCCGAGGCAAGCAAGATTGTAGCCGGATTGGAGCCAGAAAAGACGAACGCGTGGCTTGTGAAGCTCCATCAAGCTGCCACGACCTGCGTCGGGGAGAAGTCTGAGGCAGCGGTGCAACGAGTGCTGAGCGGCGAGCTCATCGGTGCAGTCAAGGAGAAGAAGAAGAAGCCGAAGGAAGACGGCGCCCCTCCGCCTCCACCTGACGGTGCCGAGGAAGCCCCTGCTGCACCTTCAGCACCTGCAGATGATGAGGCCAAGAAGGAGGAGGAGCGAAAAAGACGGGCAGAGAAGAAAAAGAGGGAGGAGGAAAGAAAGCGCAAAGAGGCCGAGGCAGCGGCAGCCGCTGAGCAGCCGCCTCCCCCGGAGCCGCCAGCCCCTCCACAAGACGATGCCGAAGAGGAAAGGAAGAAGGAAGAAAAACGCCGGAAGGAGGAAGAGCGTAGGCGTCGCAAGGAAGAAGAGAAGCGACGAGCGCAGGACTGCAGTTTGCAGAGCACCTACTCGTACTGTAGTATGTGCCAGGTGTCACGAAGTGCACATGACTGGACGGCCTCGACAACATAGAAATAGCAGGTAGAGTCACTTGAGTCAGCTAAAGCCAGACGTAGTTTTGGAAAACGATAGTGCGTGGTTGAAGCTGGGAGAAACATGCTCAAGCGTTGCTTGCTGCGCGCTGCAGGAAGAAGAGCAGCGCCGTCAAGAAGAAGCAGCCGCGGAAGCCGCCCGTGAGGACGAGCGGCGTGCCGAAGAGGCACAAGCGGCCATGGCACAAGCGGCTATGGCAGATGACGGCTTGCAGGATGCCCCACCTGCTCCACCTGGAGCCCTCTCGGAAGGTCCTGCTTCAGGGCCAGATGAGATCGCGCAGCGAGCCCAGGAGATGCTCGCCCAACAGAGGGCTGCCGACAACGGCCGGCCGCGCACAGCCGGCAGAAAGCCTCCGAAGGTTACCTCCAAGGTGACCACTACGGAGCAGTCCACCGCTCCAGCCAATGTGCCAGCCCCCGTGATAATTGCCGAGGGCACCGGCGTGGAGGATGAGGAAGACATGTTTGAGGCGGGTGGCCCTCCACCAGGGGCTCCACCGCCCCCACCGCCTCCAACGGATGATGGAGGTCAGCACGGCGCCCTGGTCAGCGACCTCCTGGCGGAGAAGCGGAAAGAAGAGGAGCGAGAACGGCTGAAAAAGGAAGAGGAGGAAACACGTGAGGAGTTTGATGACGGCTCCAAGGGCATCAAGATGAAGCTCCGCCGGAAGAAAGACACAGGCAGCGCCATCGTCGAAGTGGATCCGGTGAAGCTCGGTGAAGCTATACAGAGCCTGTGTCAAGCAGCCAATCCACTTGGCAAGTCCATCGATCTGGTGCACCAGGACATAGCCAATATGGGGAAGGAGCTTGACCATTGGAAGCAGGAGTACCGTGAGTCAAGTGAAGCCTACGGCCAGCAGCTGAAGATGACAGAGGATCTTTTGCAGCCGCTTTACCAGAAGATAGCGGAGTTAGATGACAAGATTGCGGAGCAGCAGGCAAAAATCCGCAACAGTAGATCCCGTATCTCCAAGAACGACTTGAAGATACAGCAGCTTCTGGAGTCTGTGGTGATGGTGAGATAGCTTTCGGGCAAGATGTTGTACAGATCAAGTTGCCACAGCACCAGCTCATATCTTTAAACTGATACCATAGCAGCACGCGACCACGCAGCGACATGGAACACTTTGCTGGCAGGCTGTCTAAAGAAGATGCATGCTGACCGTGCAACTTGTCACCCTGGCTGCAGACTGCCGACTGCACTGGCGCTGCTTTTGCTTGACCTGTGCATGCTGCTGGCCCTCGACAGTAGTGGAGAATTTGAGACTGGACTGAGCATGCGAAAAAGTCGTGTGGCAATAGCACTGCAGTAGGGGCTGGCCGGCGAGAGGTGTGAGGGACATCAGTTCAGCAATTGCGGCAGATACGCGCATGGCCTCATGCTGCGAAACATCAAAGAGTCAATGGACTGAAGTGTCAGGACGAATGGTGTTGACGTGCAAACTGGGTGAAAGCCTCAACGGCCAAGTGAAACCATGATGGATGATACTCCACGTCGGTCAAAGCCTGACCCAGGCGTGGGCTGCTTCCGCCTGCTGGTCTCACTGTTGAGTTTGCCCCCCGGCATCTGTCGGGCTCCGGAGTTGCTTTGCTACGCAATGTGATGGCTTGGAGTGTGACCCTGGGAACGGAACAGGCCGATGCTCCTGGGCAAGCACAACGGGCTGGGTGCAGTAGCTCCTGCCCCAGCATGCCGGAGTATCAGTATCAATCCGCAGAATCACCCGCAGGCTTACTCACTCAATCTCACTTATTCAATCGCTCATCGCCCAGTGGTGATCACACTACATAGTTCAAGCGCCATGCAACTCTGCAATTGAAGAATCAGAACAGCTGCCTGTCGCGGCCCACTATGATGCGACTGTTTCAAGCCGTACCATGTCGCAACCGCATCGCAACTGCGCCACCGAAACAGCGACGTCTACAATGCCAGGTGAGCGCTAGTATGTGATCTGGTAGTGGAACCAGCTGGCTGGCTGCAAAGAGTTCGTCCAAAACGTCTGACATCGGCAAACCCAAGTCATGAGGAACAAGCTTCTGTCTATTTGCCGTTGCTTTTCGCTCAGTAGCTTGTTATCCCGGACAGACTCACGCGAGCTGACATAGCATCCAGACGAACAGCTGCGGGGTGATGTTCCTGAAAGGAAACGGCAAACGATCTTGTCTCTCTCTGTCTCTCGCTCTCTTTCTTTCTTTCTTTCTTTCTTTCTTTATTACTTTATTATTTTTTCTTTTTCTTTCTTTCTTTCTTTCTTTCTGTCTTTATTTCTTTCTGTCTTTCTACACTACAGAACACTACAGCGAGAGAGCATTGCGAGGAGTCGGACCCCCGCGGGATGTTTCATATTTTGGACAGCGTGTTGACCACAAGGCTTCGCTGCAAACATGCTTCGTCCGGCAGGCGACCGGAGGGGTCTGGACGACGCCGGATCCGCCGTGGAAAGCGCAGCAGCAGGACAGGCTGCAGATCGACCCTTCTAGCGATCTCAAAGCTTGACTCTGACCGCCTGCAGGGAACAGCCACTCCCGCAATTTCATGGTCAGGACCCTAGCAGACGCCGTCCTATTCAGACAACTTTCAGGCATGTGATCATGTTCGAGGGATTGCTAGCGTTCGGTTTGTCCGTAATGCCAAGCCTAGCTGACAGCCTCTAGGGGTTTGCCAGACAACTTTGCCAGCCTCGGCCCGATGGGATGCTTGTGAACCTGTGCACATCGCCGAAAGAGTTGGTTTTGGTTTGTCCTGGAGATTTGCGAGGTTGAGCCAAGGCGGCAGGGGAGATAGGAGGCGTTTTCTTCCGCTTCACAGGGCAGCGTCGGCGCTCCCGGCACCAGCTTCGCCAAGGACTCCCAGGCTCCTGGCTTCGGGCCATGGGACTGAGGGAGATTTCGTTGAGCTGATCCCTTCCGAGTCCGGGTGGACACACGGGCAGCTGACAGTTGAGGCATTGTAAGGCACAGGAGGCAGGACCTGTGGAAAGCTGCTGGCCTCCAAATCGCGGCGTGACTGGATACCGGGCCAAACCATTCCAGCACCGATCGCAAGCTCAGGATTTCAAGGGTTCCGGGCAGCAGTTGATGCAGGCAGCTCGCGGCTGCAGAGGCTGGCCAAGCGGCGAAGGGCTCGGGAAAGCTGAAAGATATGCAACCTCCTTGTTTCGGCATTCGGATATGCTTGTTTCTGGCTTGGAGCTGGTCTGTCGTGAACTGCCGGGGTTTTGAGGTTTCCGGTGCGGCCATGGTTTCGATGGCAGAGGCCCATGCGTGAAGCTTGCACTTCGGTGAACATGAAAAGATACCATGTGAGTAGAGGTTTGGCACTAGGTTGCATGCAAGGCGCCCGCTGCCTCGCAAGTTCGACAGTGACGGCCTCAAAGTGTGCAGCAGATGTGCTGCTGCCGGGGATGCATCCAGCGGCACATCGCCGACCTAGTCGAGGCCATCTCCGAGCAGCCCACCTTTGCCTTGGCTACAAGCTCGGCTGCTTCAGTGCCGAGAAATCCAATCTGCAGTGACCGCAAGGTCACCAATTGGTGGGTCCTTGACGCCTACGGGCATCCAGCAGCCCGGCCGGTGCCTGACAGAACATGACACAACGTTGCTCATTTGCTGTGCAGACAGGTCAGGACCAGAGCCCTCCAAGCAGCTTGACTAAACGCGGCGCATTGCAGGAGAGAGTAGACGTCATGACGTCATGCTAAGTTTCGGCTCCCAAGGCCCGAGCACACCGCCTCAGCACCTTGGATTTTATCGAACCCTCCCTCGATGCGATGACGACGCAACGACTACTTCTCCCGTGGCTGATGCTCCTACTCCTACTCCTGCTCCTTGCAGCCAAGGCCAGCACTTCAGGCATTCTCACTGCGACTGCCAGCGCCGCCGGGCAAGCCCGACTAAGCTCTGTTGAAGGTTGAAGGTTAGAGAAGCTACGTGCAAGCGCAATCGGAGAGCACGGAGAGTCCTGAGTCATGAGTTCGCCCTTGACTGCATGCTTCTATTCTTGCTTCAAGTCGCTTCACGCTTCTGACAGCGGGTTTCAGTCAGCATGGCCCCAACAGCTTGGATTGGGTCCGTGCTGCAAGTCACATGTTCAGAGGCAGCCTGGGGCGAGCTTGCTTCGCTTGACGGATCTCGACTGCGACTTCACAGGTCTGAGCCACCAGCAGAGTAAGAACGCATTGCTCCAATGTCTGATCTCACCAGTAGAGCTCAGAATGCAGTGTGGGCTTCGCCTAGCATGGCCAGTCTCGGCATTTCAGACTGGTGCCATTATGGCGGATGTAGATTTAGTAACCTTCGCTGGCAGCCTGCCAATCGGGCACCGCTTGTTCAAATCCTGCCCTCACCTCAGACTGAAGAACCTTCCGTTGTCTGCATACTTGAAATAGCTGATCATCGAGCTTCTTTGGTACAGCTGCTGAGACGTCTCACTTTGCCAATGCCCCTTCGACCCAGCCCATTTGCGATGCTCGTGCCTGATGTTGGTAAGTCTCTTTTGCCTGATTGAGACTGGGTCCACACCCACAGGCAGATTAGGAGCATCCACTGCGTGCTGCAAATGGAGCCGCGAGGTCAGGCAACAGCTGCCGCTGTCGTCGGATTATGTGGCTTTGTGTTGCTGGCCGTGACAGACCCTCCAATGGATCTGCGACACGGAGCCGGGATCGCAGCGCCCAGCAGAAAAGGAGGCGACACTTTAAGCTGCAGGCATGCTGTGCATTGCAATTCGAGCCTGCGAAATCGCGCGTCAGCTTTAGATGACTAGCCAGCTTTTACTTAGCCAATGAGACGCGGGGTGCGCCTGCATGTGCGACTTTGCTGATGACTGTCGTGAGACACCCAGTAACTCAGTATCCCGACGCGTGTTTTGCGCGCAGCCGCCTCGGCGATGTTTTTGCCCAGTCGCTCCCGATTGCCCGGGAGATTCTGGCAGACGCCGCCCGAGCACAAGCCACGGCCTTGAAACTCTGGCTTGGGGAGACGCTGTTGCGATGCAGGCATGGTATGCATCGTTGATTGAACAGGTTATCAGGAATCCGACGAAAGGAAACGACCCGAGCCGAGGTGCAAGCTTGGGACGAGCGATTTGGAACTTCACCAGCTCCTCGGCTCGACGCTGTGGAGCTGTCTGTGAGATCTTGTGTGGCATTCCTTTGCACTCGGGTTTTAGATGTGCAAAATTCCAGCGTTCACATGTGCATCATCGGGCAGTATACCAAGTATTTCCAAGCCTACCGATGGGGTCAAGCATTGGGGTAATTACTTTCGTGTGTGCCTGTGCTCCGGTCATTGTCGCTTCGAGATGTGCTGCCGCACTTTTGCCGAAGGCCTCGAGCCAAACAGTCAATGCCAAGGCACCGCATGAACACGTTTGAAGCACCCGCTTCCTCCGGGATGGTTTGCAATTAGCCTTGTGATCTATCACTTGTGCTGGAGTTGCAAGTTGCGGCAGGCACAAACCGAGGCATTTGCCAAGAGAGATGCAACTGGAGTCGAGGCTTCGTCCAGTGCGGCATATCGTGATTTCATCCTGTCTCCTGTATCTTCTCTTCTTTAAGGCTGTGAGTATTGATACATTTTGATCAAGACCAGCAGCTGCAGAAGTCGCACTCTGTGCTGCTTCCTTGGCCAGGCAGTTCATGACGTAATGCCCACTGAGCAGCAGATCTTCGAAGACTTCCTGTTTGAGGCTGCATGCTGGAGACGAGCAATGCTCTGCAAACTGTTGCAACAGCTGAAAGAGGCCGCTGCCACATCGACCGCAGACGCGTTGCAAGCGGGCTAGCTCAGCTGCAGCTGTTTCTGGAGCTTGGGCGGTCGTTTCCAAGCAAAGTTGGTAGCACGGCAGCTCTGCTAGTCCAAAGGTTGGATGAACAGTTGCACACCGTTACCAGGTGTTGGACTTCGGCTGTGGAGACGGACGGTATCTGCAGTGGTCTTCCCGGAGAGCGTGATGCGGCCTCGGTGTCCTGCTGTGGCATCATGTCATCTGAATGTTGCTGAGGCAGTTCTTGCGCAGCGCAGAGGTGGCCGTGTTCAAGCTCTCTCATCAATTCCTCAACTTTTCTGTTCGAGGCGCTTCGTCCCCGTGCAAGAGTACTACGGGTGGTCGCTTACGAAGTTTCAGCGGGGCCCCCAAAAAGACGTGCAGAAAACACCCTAAACCCTAAACCCTAAACCCGAACCCCTAAACCCCTAAACCAGTGTGAGAGTCGAAACCCCTAAACCCCTGAACCAACCCTAAACCCTTTTCAAACAGCCCCTGATTTCCCTGCGATTTCCGTCAGGCAGAGGCACTGAGGAGCTTCCATGCACAGGAACCCAGGCTGCAAAGAGCTAGGGACCTTATTTTATAACTATACTCTATAGTGTTAATATAGGGGCTTCAATAATTGCCTATATTATTTTGGGGGTTCCTTAGTTTAAGTACAGTATTGGCCTGGCCCTCAGTTTTCTCTCCTTTCAGGGGTACCCGGCAGTCGCAATAGGCCTGGATGCAAAAGTACAGTATAAAGGTTCCTTAGCAGAATTATACCGTGCCTATTTCGCGGGTTCCTTATTATAACTATCAGTCTAATGGGCCCCAAAACCCGATTCTAGCCATGAAGGCCCGACCTGCCCTAGCACTGCCCCTCTTTGAGCGATCTTCCGCTATGCAGGCACTCCAAGAGGGCCTTGAGAAGACAGAAGGGCTGCGGAAGGTGGGGGAAAGCACATCACATCGGTTCATGCTGGCCACCTCCGTTGCGCATGAGGACGACATACAGCTAGTCCCCCTTCTCGGAAGAAACTTGCAGCTCGAGTTGCGAGCTCGGCAGAATCTGCATCTTGATATCATGTCATGGGGCACGGATGGGCACGGGGCAGCATCAGCGTTGGTGATCGATGTATGCTGTAAGTGTTTTCGGAAGGCACAGTCGATTCGGAGGTTTTCTGTGCAGCTCGAAGTACCGACACAAGGTCGACATGGTGGAACGTGCGATGGACCGAGTAGCCGAAGTAGCCCAGGTTGTGTCAAAAAGCCCGGAAAGCGCAAGAAGAGTGTGAATACGGCGTTTGCATTCAGCCAGACGTGTAAAGTCCAGCCATGTCGCCGCCGCGGCCGCGGCTAGCTTTAGTCGTCGGGTTAGTTCTGCAACTGGGCGCAGGCGCCAGTTTGGGGAGGTCATCTGCAAGCCTGTGCGCGCGCAACTCCTTTTGATCTGCAAACGCCTGATGCCGTGGCCTGCTATGCAGGCATATCGAAAGTCTCAGAAGAGTCGGATACAGACAAGTTCATGACGATCGAGGACAAGGGCCGACTGGCTGGTTTCCAGGTAGCTAGGTACAGACCACACAAACGCAGCTGCAGGATGCCGTTAAACAAGAGGGCACCGAAGGTATCGTACACGAATGGAGTGGTATGATGGTTTGCTGCTCTGCATCTGTCATGCTGGCGCTGCTGATCGGCAACTTCCTCCACGTTTGCCAGGCCTACCCGGTCGGCACCCTCCTCTCTTCCCCAGTCTTCCCAGCTTCCCTGTATTTTGTTGCCAGCGGTGTACTTCGGACCCCATTTTTAATGAATGACGACGTGTGCCAGGTAAGCATCATCAGCGAATCGAGCGTTATCATCCTGGTGGGTTTCCTGCTTGGCACGGTTCTGCCGACAGATGGGTCTATCCTGTGTTGGGCAATGGGAACTGTCGACGTCGAGACGGAGGGCTTGGTGATGGCTTCCTTCTTGAACCTCTTCCTGCTGCCAGTGATCATTTTCGAGGCTGGCTGGTCCATGATGCACCGCGACTTCATCAACCAGCTGAGACTTGAACCGCAAGTCTTGACAGGTGTGTTTGACCAGTGCGGAGCTATCCCAGAGCACAGACTGCCGAGGCTAACAATTCTGACGTTTGCAGTGCTCGGCACGCTCATCTCGATGCTAGTGGTTGGGAGCCTCATTCTCTCAACCTGCCACATTCATGGGATTTGCAGCGCAGCTTTTTTGCATGAAGCTTCCGTCTTCTCGTTCCACGATACAGGTAGCAGCATTCTCTGTTTGGGATCGCCCTCGGTAGCACATTCTGTTATGAATTCAGAGTTCTTGAGTTGAGTGGATAAATATAAGGAGAAATTCCGAGTCGGTAGCTGTTATGTGTCCGTGTCCAGACATGTGTATATGTGTATTCAGAGTGTATTTATAGTTGTTACTGCTAATCGAGCCCTGCGAACTGACTGCCAAAGAACCACTAAACGCACCGCAAAGCATCATCATGGCCGTCGAAGCCACCACAAGCAAATGCCGTCATCACCACCACCGTCCTAGCAGCTGCAAGCAGAAATTATAGCATTTTGAGCGTCCTAGCCATTGCAAGAAAGAGGCTCATTTTCAGACACGTCGTTGCTGAGGCACCTGTGACTTGTACAATGTGCGAGTGTACAAGTGCCGATAGCTGCTGATTCAAGTTGTAACTTCCCCCTGCCATCTTGATCATGGCCCTTCTCATTCTACAGCGTTCACAAGTGGGGATTTTGAAAGAATTTCTATCCTTGCCAGCATCCTGAGCATACTCCGAAAGTAGTGTTTCTTGTATGCCTCACTCATGATCTATGCGGGCTTCTGAAGGCGAATCCTTGTTCTCGAGGTAGACTCAGCCGCTTCGTCCCTTCCGTATCCGGTGTTTCGTCCTGAGCGCTGCCTCATGCCATGATTCTCACAAGTACGAAGGAACAAAAGCATTTAGCGACCGATACCGACCGGCTCCAAAGGCATCAGAAAGTCTGGTGCTATCGAACCGCACCTTTTGCGTACAGAGGGTTTTTTGCCTTCAGGTTTGTTCCTGCAAGCAGGGCCGTTCACGACGTGAGTCTTCGGTTTTGTCTGATGCGCGTTCCTGCCAGCGAACCGTTCATGCCAGAAACAGTTAGTTGAAGAATTGAAGAATTGCATTGCAAGCCTATCTGACCTCGCCTGTGAGCATAGTTCTCTGCCATGCGAGAGAGAAAAGAAACCGTTAAGCCCTCGGCTGACAAGTTTTTCTGCTTCGGCATTGGTGCAATGCATGTTTCTTGCAGCCGGGACCGTTCACAACAGAAAATGACCTTTACAACATGACCGGTTTTGCGGCACTTGTTCCATGCTTGTTTCTTCAACCAGAGCCGCTCACGGTAGGATTGGCAAGTTTCAGCACCAATCGAAACTTAGATTCAGGAGAAAGCCTTCCCCGTAGTCTTGAATTTCCAGCCCTTTTTTGGAAGGTGTTGAGTTTCCATGCTCCGAATCCTATTCCCGTCACAACTTTCCCAGATGTGCCATACATACATGCATACGTACATACATGCGTACAGGCCTGCACATGCCTTTCTGTTTCGCGACCAGCGCAGGCACGCACAGCATTCACCTATGCAGCCCTGATCTCGGCAGTAGATCCCGTGGTGCCTGAGCTGCATTCAGTCAGAGAACTCGAACTTGCACTCCAAGTTGTCAGTTGGTCGAAGAAGCCTTCAGGCCACCCTTGCGACATATGCGCATCTGCAAGTTGACCCTCTTCTCAACATCATCGTGTTTGGAGAGTCTGTTGCGGCTTGCTCGCAAAGTTGGAGGAGCTTGCCCACAAGTGAATGAGGGCGAAAGAGGAGAGGGAGGGAGAGATTGATAACAGTGCTGTGATTCGCCATCATGTACGGGCGGTGCGCTGGTTGTGAGGCAGCGGTAAGGGGTTACATCACTGAGACGGGGGACAGGCTTACATGCATCTTAGTAGTGTTGTGCCTGGAGCATCTTGGACCTATATGGTTGCACATTGGAACATGATCCCTTGTCACGAAGGCTTTCCCCTCTCAATTTGTGCATGTTGGCGATATCCAGACATCCTTCGTGAGAAACATGCACGGGTTAGACACTCAACTTCTGTTCACCCCTCCGCAATGGTCGGCAATAAGCTTGCGCCCTCTCCCCCCCTCCCCCTCCCCCCCCCTCCGGTTCAGTTTATATACAATTACACAGGCATAACGATACAGGTTCCCCCCCGCCCCCTCTGTTGAACGGGACATCCTTCCTTCACCTGCGGCCCTGGGTCTGTGGTTCTTCTGCATCCATGCGCCCTTCCCCCTCCCCCGCCACATGATTCATGCCATCTACAAGTATACACTGATCATGATGTTTGTCCCCCCCCCCCCTCTGTGGAACGGGACAGCCCGCTTCCGCGGCTTTGTGGTTCTCCATCCGTGTGTGGGGTCCAGATGAGGAAGGAGAACCCCCGCCATCCCCCCTGGAACAGGTGGGTTTGCATTACTTCTGCCTCTGGAACCGTGTGTGCTGTCTTGCTGAGGAAGTGGTATGATCGTGTCGAGCACACACACACACACACACCCACCCACATACACACACACACACACACACATTCACAGATGTGCAGGTGTACATATGGCCCGTTGTATACATACACACGGACACACATGGTACTCCCCCTCATGTACCGACGCCTTTCTTCTAAATCTCAGCTTTGGGAAGGCGTGGCTTCCTGGGATACCCTTCTCCTAAATTTCAGCTTCAGGACGGCGTGGGTTGCAGGGGAATGCCTGTAGATCGTAACTGTCTTACGGATTCAGGGCGTGTGCAATTGAATACGCCTCGGATCCAAGATACCTTGAATCTTGAATCCGAGGTGTATTCAACTTAATACGTGTTGAATACGTTCGGATAGGGCCGCTGTGATTCCAAACCCACACAACCCTAAGGGTCCAGATGCCTGATATTACTTTCCTCCCCTTCAAGAAGCGAAACTACCCAACACTCATTGTCAGTGTAGTGTTGTTTACTGAGTGCTTTTTTTATTGTTGAGTAGCTGGGGTCCATCTCTGTTTCAAAGTATGTGTTGCGTATGTCTGTATTTATAGTCTCCCCTAGGTTTTGATTTTCCGACGCTGTTGCCTCGCCTTCTGCCAACTATTGCGACTTCCGATTTCAGTTCTTATGGCTTCGATGTATTGGTACATCTCAACCTCAGCCATCTCATGAAATTCTGGGTATGTTCTGAAGGTTAGCATAAGAATTGCTTTGTAATTCACCGCTTTGTGACAGCGGATGGTAACTTCTGCTATTGGCTTCAGAAGCTCGTTTTCTCTGCGAGCGGTTCTGTGTCGAAAGAAGCATGCGTTGAACAGTCGTTGAACGAAATACGTTTACGGTTTTTGAAAAGTTACAGTAGTAGGTATATAGCGGTCCCAGGGTTAAGGGCCCATACTAGGGCCCCATGGTTTCAACCTTAGACTATACTAACTCTCCAAAACCCGTTGTAGGCCTTATGAAAAGCCGAAGAAACCTTGTACTCGCCCTCATAGACCCTGTACGGACCTTCTCTTAAAGGGGGTCCTGTCGGCCCAGTACTCTTGTCTTGTTGAACTTAAGGCTCCAGGCCCTTGTGTTTGAGACACATACCATTGGGGGGGAGGGGGGTGCACGGCGCACAACCCTATATGATGCCGCTTCTCGGTTCCGCGACCCCCCCCTCCCCGCCCCAATGATATCCCCCGTCGCAAACCACACCACCCACACACAAGGGGCAACCACCGCAAGCAGAGCCAACCCCGAACAACAACACCGACAGGGAGGCGGAGAGCAACCCACAACCACCCACACCACACCACAGGGGGGGGGGGAGCCCGGCCGAACCGGGATCATATACTTGGAGGAGCTGAGCAGTAAGGGCAGCAGTCGCGTCCCTTGTGAAATCCTGGATATGTGGGCTTGTGCGGGGCACCCCCCGCAAGGCAGACTTCGAAGCTGGCAGTGTCACACCGAGAAGCCTGCAAGGGGGACATGGTCCACGCCGTCCTTTAGACGTGCAGAAAGAAAGAAACGGAAGGACAGAGTGAAGCTTTCGCTGACTCTAACAAAGTTAAGTTATGCCGCTGGAGCAGGCGCGCGCACCGTTTTTATAAGCAAGGCCGCGTGGGACGAAATCCTTGCAGTTCGCCGCCGAGGGGTTGAACAGTTGGTCAGAGCAAGCCGTTCTCGATGCAGAGCCTCTCTGCTGCTTAACTTGGGGTTGGAACTGGCCGCAGCATTCTCCTTGGCCATGTGCACCTGCTTGTCGACGGCTGATCGGTACATAGCAGCGGACGAATTCCAAGTCGAAACGACAATGGGGTCAAAAGGAAGGGCCCCGAAGAACTGACCAAGCCCGGAGGCGACCAAGCCCGAGGCGAATGCCAGTGCAAAAGTTGGCAAACGAGCAAAGAGCGGACCAACCCAACTGAGCCGTGCTTTTGAAACGGAAGCAGGGGCTGACCACCCTGTCCACCTGCACAGTGGCAGCTTGCATGTGTCTATGTCAAGAACCTCATAGCATCGCCGTATACAAGCCAGAGTGTTTTTACGAGAGAGAGAGAGAGATTCGACCGAAACTCCCCAACACAGTACCAGATCATGAGAACACGAGTGAGTGTTTGTGTGTGTGTGTGTATGCGTGTCTGTATGTGTGTTTACTTATGTGCGTGCACGAGCGTGTGTGCAGTATGCAGCGTGGCGGCGAACTCGAAATTTAGGGGATTTGGGGCTTGGCTTTGCGGACAGGCCAGGGAAGTATGCTCAAGTGTGGCTGGGGGCGGGGGTCGCAGCCTCTTGCTTAATATAATATGCGTGGTCATTGATCATGTCATACATCACGCGTATCTCGGCGTTAGCTCTAGTGACTCGAGTAGCAGACCGTGCAAACCCTGAAGCGAAGTGGAGAGTGAGACTGTAGACACCCTTCACTGAATGTGCTGATCTCTTGTCGATGAACCATGTCGAGCGATGCAAGCCATGCGTGCTATGCCACATACCGAGACATGATGCACTCAGGTCAATGATGCAGTTGCCATCGTATTATTTCGCGTTCTGAATAGAATCTTGGACTAACTGCGCCGTGCAACTGGAGCTGAATGATAAGCTTTGGAGCTCCGTGGCATGGATTCGAAGCGCATTTCTCGCACTTTTTTCTGCAAGGCTCCGAGAGTTTCGAGGACCTGAGCGTTGGCCAAGTCACTGGTCGCCAGGGCCTTGAAGCGGGGGTTTGGCGAAGGATGTCTGAATGGTGGTGTCAGTGGTGTTGACCTCTCCGAGGCATTGGATCCCAGACTACCTTGCTGCTCTTCGGCTCTGTCGGGCTGGGCATCGCTCTGGGCTTTGTGCTCATGTGCCGTAGCTGCACGTGCCGACTGGTGTGGATTTGCCTGCTATACAGCATCTCCACAACCTGGGGCCCGAGCCTGTCAAGGCTGACTACTCGCTTCTGTCGTGCCAGCCTTAGAATCTCAAGTTGGCTTTGAACGGTTCAAGCATCAGCATGTTACAAGTCACTAAGCCTCTTGGAAGGGAACCCTCTGGCGACAGCGCTGCACGCTCCGTGCTCAGGTTTGGCGGACCAGACCTCTCCTTGTGTACTGTTCGTTTTTGTATCCAGCTTTTTCATCTACTGCTTTGCGGAGCGAGTGTGCCGTGTCTGCATGGAGCATTGTTGGGTTGTCCTGTCAGTGAAGTTCTTTCTTGAAATGCCTTGCAGACTGCTCCCCCAAGAACCTGTCCGAGGTGTTCGATGTCAGGGATTATCACCGTGCTGTTCGCTTCCATGTTTGCTAGCGCTTTCGCAAGGGAGCAGTTCTCCTCAGAGGCCACCATGTTCTGCACCTTGCCCTGTTGAGAAATTGTTGCTAGCGGCCTGCCTTGGCAAACATGATGGGGAACAGGGAACACGCAAGGTCTAAAGGACGGGTGACGGGTGCGTGTTTTCTCCCCTGCCTGAAATCCGTAGCACGCCATCTCGTCGATCGCTTTACGCACATCCGCTCAGATATGTTGACATCCGAGGTGCTTTTGCACTGAAGCAGGCAGCCACTCTAGCCGACATGGCCACCTCCTTATGCAAAAAACCACATAAATAGGTATCGGAGCGTCGCAGCATTTGACTGCAAAAGGTAGTTTTCCTTTTCGTTGGCATCACGGCCGTGTACTGCGATCGCAGAGGTGGGACTTGCACCCGGCAAGCTAGCGACAATACCAGCTTCTGCCACCACTTGCATTCGGTTGGTTGACTCTACTTCGCCTGAGCCTTGGGTAAGTTGAGGCCTAGTCTTCGGAAGTCTCGTCATCGCCTTCTGCCTTCTTGGAAGAGCAGCTGCCGCCACATCCCCGGATGCTGTGCAGCAGTCGGGTGTAAGACTGTGATGGTCTGGTCAGTCTGGGCAAAGGTGTTGCCGCTTGCACTGCTAACAAACGGTTGCAAGGCCACGGGTGCTGACTGCTCGTGCTTGTTGCTGCATCTACATCCAAACAACTCTGCTTGCAGTCTGTGGCTGGCCACTCACTGAGCTGGGAGAAGAGTCTGAGATTGAACTGGAAGAAGGCGCGATGTCACCACCGTCCTTGCTGAACATCCTCCTATCATGGTTTGTGATTGTGGCCATGCCTAGAAGTGTGAAATGTCCTGCAGATCTTCATGATGTGGCACGCTGGCTTGCGTGGGGGCACCTTGGATTGAAGGCTGTGCATTCAAGTGACGCGCATGGCTTGAGCTCTGCGCTTGGACGATGCTGTTTGAACGAGCATTGAATGGTGAACCGTCGAAAAGCCACATGACAAAGACATGCTGTGTTGCAAACTTCGTCAGACTCTGCGTTCGAGATCTGCTCAGGAATTGCTTTGGTCCTCACATTGGAGCTAGAGCCGTGGGTCGATGAGGGTTCACCTGGCACCAGGGATACCCTTCGGAATGCTACAATTCTGATCATTGTTGCTCGCCTCAAAGTTGAACAACTTCTGCTTTCGCCGGCGGTCCTGCAAAAGCTAATCGCCTCTTTCGCCTCAGGTCTTTTTTCTGCTCTTTTTCGGCGGCTTGCTGGCATGAGCTGTACATGCAAAAGTTCTTGCACGGCATCGATCCTTCCAGCCGGTCTTGAATCTCCCTACTCTACTTCAGGAACCACCCAGCGAGACTTGTGCAACTTCTGTCGGGTCAAAGGTTTGCTTTCTGTTACTTGCGCGCAGCAAAGGGGGCACGACCAAAGTCTTGCTGAAGTCGGAGGCTTAGATTTACATCGCAGGATAGCCGTGGTCCTTGTGCATGTTTTGTAGACACAGCAATGCGCCACCGGATGATCGTGCAGTGTGCTGCATAGATGTCGCGCCGAAGGTGTCTGGGAATCCCGATGGAAGGCCGTCTAGTACTGGCAGCCGGATGGTGCAATTGGTGGCTGTTGGAATACATTTCCGGGCACAACCTGGCAGGCAAGGCCAAGCCGATGCACATCCACCATGACAACGTCTGGCGCTGCCTACACTACATAAAACATAGAGTCCGGAACCTAGCAGCCTGAGAACCAGTCGTCAATGCATTAAACTCGCAAACTGTTGCGCTATGAAACGTGGGCCTTCAGGTTCTATCTAAAGCGTTGGTTCCGGACACCGCGAAAATGATGCTTGGCCGGCAGAGAGCACGAGTATGAGGCATTGCGAGCTTTGCAGCAATTACAGCTCTGCTCATGGCTTGCTTAGGAATGAGGGCGCCCTTCCTCAGCTGATGGTCTTGGCCTCGTGTGATCTGGAGACACCGGATTTCGAGAGGGCCTTGTCGCCTTTGCACTGGACGCTAGAAGCCCTGCCTCGCATCAAGACCCCAAACCTCCCAGCAGACCGGATGCTTGCGGTGTGAAGCGAGGAAACCAGTAAAAAGGTAAGGTTTCTGTCATGCCTCTTGTCGGCCTGCTTTTGGCTTCAGCAGTTTTGCATCGAGGCGGACTTCGCCGCTGTTGAGAGGAAGGTTTCTTCCGTGTCTGCGCTGCAACTCCAAGAACTGCTTTTGAAGATTCAGATTCTGAAGCTGACGCGCATTGGTCATAAGGCTTCTCTTCCCGGCGGTATCCGCTCCTCGAGACTGCCGGCTGCTCGAGCTTAAGATATCTGAAGTCTGAAGATAGCCCGTGCGAGGAGCATCCTTAAGATGGTTCTCCACAGAATCATGTTCAAGCTTGTGATGCCGGCCCTTGATCTTCCTGAAGGGTTCTTCCCACCAAACCCTTTAGGTCATAGATTGGGAGTTTCAGAAAATTAGGGGTACCTTATTTGGGGGTCCTTATAATAGGGATCCTATTATTTAGGGTACTATATTAGGGTCCCCTTATTTTCGGAAACCCCCATTTCACGCGCAGGTGATCCCATCACAGCGTTCCGTGGATGCCCGGCGTGGTAATGATTTGGTCAGCCTCTTCGGAGCCTCGCCGTACAGTTCTGATATGGGCGTTTCCGAAAATTAGGGTACCTTATTTGGGGGTCCTTATAGTAGGGATCCTACTATTTGGGGTACTATATTAGGGTCCCCTATTTTCGGAAACCCTCATATGTTCTGCTGCAATGCGGTTTTCACGGCGCGGTGCCTCCAGACTTCACCGAGGAATGGTGGATCCGTTGAACGCGAATGATTCCGGCTCAGAATCGGGCACCGACGAGACTGAGGCCATTTGGAGGATTTGGGTGTTCTTCACGATGCTAGAAGAAGTCAGGCGTTGGTATACATGCAGAAGGGAAGGTTTGGTTGAGTTGGCTGGCTGAGCATTGAGAGATGCTGCGAATCTCGCAATGCAGACCGCTTTCTGTGCCAGGAGAGTGCCACAGAAACAGATGAGTGAGCAGCCCTTGCTGCAGAACGCCAGACTTATGTTTCTTATCGATTCGATATCATCCTTCCAGCTGGGCTGGTGCCTGTTGCTTCGGGTGTGGCTCGCCGGACGATGCGCGACCCACCAAGCGCATGCCAGCCACCAAAAGGCCGCGTTCCTGCTGATTGCAATCGCTGCGCTGGCTGCTCGCGAGATGTTTGTACTCAACTTATTCACTTTACGGTCGGATTTGTACACAAGTTTTGGGACTCGTGAGCGATGTCCATGATGCAGTCAAGCTGTCTCCTTCTGTGCTTGCTGCATGTCGCATTGCATGGACAGTCAGCGCAGGGTTCGCGACCTGGATGTGCTGTAGTTGGCCAAGGTTTGTTCTTGGCAGCTGTTCTATGACGGCTTTGGAGGTTGGTGAGGCCATGTGTCTTGTTTCATTACGGTACTACGTTGAATGCTTTCGAGCATTCGGCTCGGCGGATGTCCACGAGCACCGCCCGGTGCGTGTGTGAGGATGGGGCGAGGTTGGGCTTCGTAGGCGGAGGCCTCTCACTTCGTGAGCTGATAGCTCGGGGCTGGGTCATTGGCCGAAATCCTGGTACGTGTATTTCGGGTATCGACGAGATGCCGCTTTCGGAGAGTGTTGCTCGGTTCTCACGTGGTCAGGCAGCTGCATGCTTCGAAGATCGTATTGGTGCCCAGCTGCTGGCAGATTTCGGCGACGTGGATCAAGGACAGTCAAGACAGGAGGTGGAATTCCGGCACTGGCCGAAAAGTGGGGGGCAGCGGTGGGCGTACGGTACAAAACAGGATTTTCGATCCTGCTGGCGGTTCCCTTTTCAGCACGGCACCTCTTGTGCTGTAACCCGCTCCGGTAGAACAGGGAAGGGTTGCCGCACGCAGTCGGGCAAAATGTCGAGAGGGTTTGCCAAACGATTGTTGCAGGTCCGTGCATCTCGATGCTTGCCCACTCAAGGTCTCTAAGTAACCATTGTATCTGCGCCCATTTGCCGATTGACTTCTTGTGCTGTCTTCCCTGTCATGCCCTGGCCGAGTTGCTACGAAGATGGGAGCCTGTGTTTGACCTGGCCGTCATTGGTATTGGACTTAGATGGCCGTTGCTTTGAAGCTGTATCTCGTCGAGCACAGGTTTTTGCAGTGACTGGTTTCAACGGGCCTTTCTTCTAAGGCTGGGGGTCCCGTGCTCAGATTCTTCCCAATCCAATCCAACCGAACTGCAACAAGACGGATGTCGTACGAAGCACCACTCTTCTCTTGCGATGGTTTGCTACGACTTCTGCTATGTCATATCCGTGTTCGTACTACTCCCCTCGTTGCCGCCGTCGTTGTTGAAATACTGTCTCTGTTTTCTGTTTTGTTCTTATTGCGTCCTTCCTCGGCATGGCTTAGATGAGGATGATGGCGATGGTGGGTTGCATGCTACCCCTGATGATGGTGACAAAACTGTTGCTTCTATAGGACGATGGAATGAAGCACCGATGACCAGGACACTCTCATCCATCCCGCGCCTGCCTGGACTCAGCGCAGAGGACAGACGGGTGGGTAGCTGCCAAACTGATTGGGATGGTTCCCCGCCCATGGCTGCTGTATGCACGATCCTGAGACTTTCAGCCCCGGCCCCGGCAAGCTGTTAGTTTCGAACTTGGCAGTTTTAGGGATTGAAAGCTAAGTGCCAGGCTGCTAGGTTTCAGGTCCTTCCAAGTCTGGCTGCGAACTACGGCACAAGCTCGTTGAAACGAGGGGCTCTGAGTGCTGCAACTCCCACATGACGACGCATTCGATATGAGGTTTTCGCGAGGTGCTGTCTTGATGATCCAATTCACTAGGTTTGAATACACTGCGCGCGGCAAGAGCGAGTCGCCGCGCCCCCTAACACATGTCCTGCTTTACCGTAAATTCCAGTACTTGGCCTGGCCTCGAAATGAGACCTTCTTGTCGGCCTGCCGCCAGTACATGGGGTAATATTTTGGGACATGTCTCTGAATCCCGCCAGTACATGCGGGAGGTGCTCAAGCCGCGCATGGTGCAGCGACCACACTGGCTCTCGGAATTGACAACCCCCTTTGTGGAACAGGCGTGTCCGTGCCCTCCGAGCGATCCCTCATAATTCCGGCCGTGTTCCTGGTGTTGATCTCGAAATGTCGGGTTCATTCTGGCATCAGGAACCCGTTCCTGAATCCCGCCAGCATATGCAAAGACTAATTTTAGCAGTGTTTGAAATTAGACACTCTGTGGTGCGGCGACGATAGATGGTCTCGGAATTGGCACCCCCCTCGAAATGTCGTGTCCGAAGCTGATACCGATGCATAGGGGGATGCAGTGTTGTTGTCTTTTCTCTGAATCCGGGCAGGGGTGTTTTGGTCGAGGATTTGTAGAAAGGCTCATAGAAGGCTTCCAGAGATTTGCAGGAGGGTATGTGGAAGGGTTTAACGGTTTAACGAGGGGTTTATGGAAGGGTTTACTGTGTGTACAGAACAGTATATAGAATGGTTTAAACCAGAGTGGGTAGATGAATGGATGAGTGGCTGGATGGATGGATGGATGGATGGATGGATGGATGGATGGATGGAGGGATGGAGGATGAATGGATGGATGAGATGATATGTCGGGGTCGCATGGGTCGCGGTCCTGACCACATCCGAGTTTCAACATCAGCTGATATTCTTGAGATGTGCAGTTGCGTCAGAAATGACTGACATGGATCTATCGAGCCAGTTTCAATTTGTCGCGACGCCTTCGACTCTTAAGCACACTCTCAGTCCCGGAATTCATGCTCAGCACTTTCCCGCCTCATGCTTTGCCGTGTAGTGGATAGGGGAAGGGTGGAACTCCATGAGAGGACATCATGGCGATGTCCGGGTTCCAAGCTATGTTATGCTCCACTTCCCACCATTCCTGCATTCTGCATCTTCTGCAGCCTGGTCGGTGAGCCCTTTACCTGACCTGGGACCACTGGGCCAAGCGAAAATTTCGTACACAGCAGTCAACTTGCCGAGGCTAAGCCAGTTGACGAAAAGCTTCATGCATCTCGGGGGCATTGAGTACTGGGCTAGTCGAGGCGTTTCCACTTGTGCCGATCTAGCAAGGGATATGTGGCGAAGCATGCCGAGGAATGTTGTTTCCAGCACGAACAACCATGCCGTTGCCCCTGGTCGAACCGGTGCAGCCGCATTGTAGAGGCATCTCATCTGTCAGAGTTGGTAGCCATGAGCTCCAGATCCTGGTGCGCACGAGCGAACCCAGTCTTGCACGTTCAGCTTTGATTCGAAGCTTGTGTGCCTGGTGAGCCGTAGGCCAATCGACACGGCAGTAGGGCAATGCTGAAGTGACATCACATCTCTGAGCTTGGTCGGATGCTGCTGCAAAGTGTATGGACCTCAAACCAAGCCGTGGCTTTCTTGTCGGCATCTTGACTAGATGTGGCAAAGTTCTTGAAATCAGAAACCCGAGCCGCCCAGCTGGGAAATCGAGACCCTTGCAAGGTCAAGTTTCAGCGCGTCTTTGAGGCGATCTCTGCAATCGTGACAGACAGTCGGATGCGAATGGGCTTCCAGTTGCACTCCATTTGGCAATGCTTGGCTGGCCTATCAAAGAAGAGTGCTGCTACTTGGCTCGAGCCTGGCAAGAAAGGCAGGCAACATAGTACACACAAGAGCATCTGTCATTTTCAGTTCTGGAAACTAGCATTGTGTCTCATCGTTGAACGTGGCTCCTTGGCTCCTTGGGCCGCTTTGTTGCCGGGAGGCCGGCGGAGGGAGCCCCAGAATCATGGATATCAGAATCCCTTGGATCTTGATAGCGAGCCATAGTGCCGCTGGGTCCCTAATATCTTCAGAGACATTAACCTACATGCCGACTCTCTTTTGATTCTTTATCTCTCGTCCGAACCAAGAACCTCATCTGGCGAGTCCGTGTGACAGGGCCTAGCCCACTTGTAGGGCACGGACAGAAATTTTGCAGGTGTGCCTAGGGTGGGGATTGTCGGCCTGATAAACCGTCTGAACTTCCTGAGTTGCGCTGGAGGTGTGCCCGACATAGACCATGGGAGCTTCTCAGTCAAGTTGGGCGGTGTCCTCAGGTGAAAACCGTGCAACTGCGTCGCGCTAATTCCTTCCTTTTCCCAGCCGTCCATGTTCATTTCTTCGTGAGGGAATTCTGGCCCGAACCGCCCGGGTCCTACGGAGGGTGGCCAATTGGGGTGATGTCGTCTATTGCAGCTTCTGCCGAGCTTTCCTGCACCGGCAGGCCGACCCCGAGAGCGAGCGTCAACAGCGTCCAGCTCACGAGTTACCCGGCAGATGTTGAGAGCTGTTCCGTTGCAGAAGAGCACATTGCTGTGGCCTGCTGAGGTTTCCGAATGGTGCCGTCTATGAAGGCGCCGTAGTCCATGTCGTGTCCTGCAAACTGATGGTGTGCTTCACGACCATTTTGCGAGGTCAGTGGGTTGGACCAGCACGAGAAGGGTATGGGGCGCGAGCTCACAGATTTCCGTGAGTGAAGCTGCATTACCAGTCGCCGACAGCATTTCACACGTCATCTCGGATCCGGTTTGCAGAGCCTTTGATGTAGCTTCGTCTTCGCTTCACTGTCAGCTTTCACTGAGATACAAAAATGGCCCGATGGAGCCTCATACACTGGGCAGTGGGTGAAGGAGAGTCGGACACAACAGTTGAGTGCACAGGGAAGCAAACTTCGCGTTGACTTGGCGCGCAGGACAAAGCTCAGGGCATGGGGAAGTTTCACCATGCTGCGGGCGATTGGCACGCCCCGCCTCGCTTATATGGAAACCTGGAGCCTGCTCAAAGGGTTTGGATTTTGTTAGGTACGAGGGCAACTTTCTCGACGACATGCAGCACGGCTACGGCGTTGCCATGTATGCCCTTCGCCTAGACTCAAATCCCAGAGATGCAGTGGATACAAAACCCTGTCTCCAAGATCGATGGCTCCAAGTACACCGGGCAGTTCGCCTGTGACAAGCATCACGGGGAGGGAGTCGAGGCCCCTTGGGCCCTTGGGCCGCCCGGGCCTGGGCAAAAAGGAGCCGACCCTTTTGGGACTTGTGGCAGGTATGGCCAGACGGAAGCCGCTTCCAGGGCAGCTATTTCCAAGGCATGAAGCACGGCAACCGCCCCAGCTGACTCGAACTTCGAGGGCCGGCCTGCATATGTACTGCCGCAAGGTGCTGTAAGAGGGTTTGCCCACGACAAACGAATCAGCCCATCCACAACCAGCAGAAACTTGTCAGAGATTGACCCAGGTCATGGTTTGTACTTGTCGGCATCTGAGGGATGGCAAGCTTGTACGGCCTGTACACGTTTTGCAGAAGGAAGCTCGCACATGCTGCTGTTCAGAGAGCAGCAAGGTGGCCAGATGGCTCAAAGTACGATGGTACTTTTGAATCCAACAACATGTCGCAGACTTGGAGAGCGCGATCGGCAGTACTTGCCATCAGTGCAGTTGGAATCGAACTTGACTTCATTCGTGGTGTCAGGAGCGGCACTGGAACCTACAACTGGTCTGACGGGCGTGCTTACACCGGCCAGTCCTTGACTCAGAACGTTGGAGCGCCTGGCGCCGGCAGGAAGACCTCAACAATTCCTGCGCTAAGGTGGGAGAGGAACACGATGCACGGCTCCAGACCGAGAAAGATTGAGATCGCTGCGAATCCTCTCCGGTCCTATCTAAGCTTAATGTTCCGCCGCATGTAAGCAGTAGTACACGACAAGTCAAATTATGTACACCTGCTCAGGCAAGGGGTCGTTCAGCTATGGCGATGGTCGTAGCTACGAAGGCAAGGGGCGCTTGTTGGAGTCGCTTGGAACGAAGGGATTGTTGAACATGCAGCCTGGTGCGTCTTACGCTGCGTTGGCACAGGCGACTTCTTCGAGGATGTTAAGCACGGCGGGGCTCTGAACTGCAGTGGTCATGGCTGGGCAGAGTGGGCAGTCATAGATGGCGATGGTCTTGCTATGCCTTCTCGTGCCGCACGGACCTCTCAGCGACTGTTCAAGGCACCGGTGTCTTCCGCTGGCCAGACGGAAGGACCTTCGAGCTCAGCGATCGCTGCGGCCACTGTCACGCCGAAGGCCCCAGATCCTGACCATGAGCACCAGGAGCTACAACGGCGAATGGCGAAACGGGAAGCGTCATGGCCGTGGCAGGTGTGCCCATGAACAGACTGTCGAGGCTGGGTATCCTGACAGCGCATGCAGGTATACGGCAGCCAGCCACAGGACAAAGACTGGCCTCTTTGAGGCCTCACTGCCGCAGTGTAGGCTGTGACATTTCTGAGAAAGTCGGGAGGACGTTGCTGAAGCGAGTGAGTCCACCAAGTAACTTACCAGGGACGGGTTGCTGATGCAGGATGGGAACCTGGTCAAGTGGGAGGACTGAAGTTCGCGCAGATCTGCCAGGTACGTTTTTTCGATTAGTGGCGGTCACACGGGGGCTTTGTAAGTCAAATGCTGGTAGCAAATGAAGTGTATGGTGTTGTGAAGGGCCACCAATTTCCAGACGACCATTCATGCAGCTTGCGCAGGTGCGCCCTTGAGATGTGGATATTTGGCAGCCGAGCGGCTTTGCAGCTGCTTTGCTGTAGCTGCAAAAGTTTCACTGAGAAGTCAAAACGTTCATGGCAGCATTGTGTTTAGCAGTCAAGCAGTGCTTTCAATGGGCCTGAATGTCGCTTCTCGGCCGTTGGTGACTTGGCAAAGGCCCACTTGCAGTGTGAGGTGTTGCGGCCGGGCAAATTCATTGCAGCACAGCTGTTTCTCTGGCCCTGGCCAAAAATTTGCTGTCTTGTACTTGTACACACACACACGCGTATATATATATATATATATATATTTATATATATATATATATATATTTATATATATATATATATTTATACAGATATACATACACACATGTATATGTCGGGTTTAGATATGTATATCTGGGTACACACTCATGCGTGTAAATCAGTTGTACATGCATGTAAAGAAAGACGGAATTGATTTTTTAAGGTGTGCCGGGTAGTCTCGATCAAGCTGTTGGCCGCACCATCTCACACTCCACCTTACACTACCTTGACCCAAAGAAGATGTCAAGCATCGTCATTGCGGTCGCTAGATGTTGTGAGAAATGCTGCGTGCAAGCCACCGTCTGTGTGTCCTGCGCTTTGCGCGATCTTGCTGCCTCAGGCAATGCGGCAGGCTTTCCGAGAAACCAGCCGACCAGCAGTGCAGTCCTGGTTGCCTGCTTAGCAGTTTCTCCGGGTTTCTTATCTGGCTTTCGTCAATCGAGATTTCAGGCACTTGGGCTAAACATGGTTAAACGATGACTAGGCTGGAAAGGAGGATTGGTTTGGCCAGCTTCGATAGATCGTGCGCCTTCATGTGCAAGCTGTCCAGCGGGGCAGCGAATTACAGACCTGCGCCGGATGCAGGTACTACTACACTGTAGACACAAAGCAGAAGATGTTCTACTCAGCCATCACAGCTGACCTAGAGGTGCTCCGAATTGAGAGGGTCTCTGGAGAAAGGGTTGCCGGAGTGTGACTACGGAAGGCAGTTCGATTGAGGGAGGCTGGCTTCGATGACGTGAGGCCAGTGTCACAGCAATGACTTGACTTCAGACTCGCCGGCGGCAGGATACGAATTTGCAACATAATCAATTTTTTCGACATTAAGACCAAGCCAGGGCCTTGGCAAGCTTCCGTTGTGGGTGTCAAACGGTGCCAGCAAAGCAAGGCCAAAGGCTGCTCGGATCAATGCTGCGGTCATCCGCCTCCTTGAGCGCCGACGACTCAGACACGTTTGAAGCTTCCAACAAAAGTACAAATCACAAGTCCATTCCGGTCTTTGCCGGAGTTTGCACCCAGGGGTCACGAACAGTAATGCGAGTTTAGACACTCTTCTGCGGGTGTTTTGGCTTGAGGCGGAGACGTGTGGGGCGCGCAGCTGCTGCTCAGTCGTGGGGTGGCCATTTTCTCAGACAGATCGCAAATTGATGCCCGTGCTGACCCATGTTCTGTTCGTGTCCTGTTCACGTTCCTGGTCGCGAACTGGCCAGGCGCTAGCTTTCAAGAAGCCGCTTTCCTCCATGCGAGTAGGCTTGGCTTCTGCGATGTCTGCTGCGTGGCTTCTGCGCGTTCCCGCGCAGGCAGTAGCATTTTCGATGCGTCTTCGGAGCACAAGCTCTACGGACAGGCGCATGGTCGCAAGTAAAGGTTGCAGCACAGGCAGTGGATGCACGACGGAATCTTCTTCATGGAATGCTCAAGTGAGTCGCGCAATGCAGAATTTGTGATCCGGGTTGAACGTCTTGCCAGCTGCTTGCCTATGGGATGGCCGATGAGCTGCCTGTTGACCCGGAGGTAATACTTCGTCCAAAGCTGCTTCGCCGCAGCCACTGCCATCCACGCATGTAACTTTCTTTTTGAGGTCTATTCAACCCAAGGCTTGCAGTTTTGCGGCAACGCCCAAAGTTGGCAACGGCACTGATCCCGATATGCAGTCAAACAACACGGGGTCCAGGTGGACTTGCTTTGCCATTCGCTTCACTTTCTTTCGAAGACCAGTGGTGGGCCTGTAGGCGTCGTCCAATCCTTTTCGCTCGGCACCTGTCAAGGGTATGTCCTGCGTGTACTGCGGCGTGGGCAAGTTCAGCTGAACGTATTTCACTACAATGCAGCCGTCTCATGCCTCTCGGTCTTTTGGAACTGCTATCGCCAAAAACTCTTCGTTTTCGGATCTGTCATATCCTGGCAGCGACGCCGAGGCTGCCGTCTTGGGCAATGGAAGCAGGCAGCTGACATGCTTCTCGGACGGCCGTTGACACGCTGAATGTGGCAGCGACTTGCAGTGTAGCCGTGTCAGCGACTCCACAGCTGGGCAATTAGCCGCATCGGGCGCCATCGAAAATGAAGACTCAGGGCAGTGTGCGTGTATGTAGAAGGGACGGCTTTCAGGCACTTGGAGGATGCTTGGCATTTCCGACCCGGAGGCGATTCAACTTGCTAGTGATGCTACTTGAGTTGCCCCACCAAGTCACTAAGTCACTAAGGTTTCTTTCCACAACGCGCCACACAGCCGACCCAAACACGGTTACCTACAACACGATGTTGAGTGCCCTGGACGTTGCTGGCAAGTGGTCCCTGGCCGTTGCTGTTGCCTCCACTGCAGCGACTGCCCTCGACATTGTCAGCTTTAACACAGCTTCCCAGCCTCACAGGCACTGCACATGACTCCATTTTGTCGAGCTAACGTTCAGTGTTTGGTGTGGTTCAACTGTCAGCTGAGGTTCTCTCTGCACTGTCTCGAAGAGCCTTATGGGCAGCAGCTACTCGCTGGCTTTGCAGCATGCGTGTTCTGGCCTAAACTCTGCTGCCGCTTAATTAAGAGACATGTTAGTCTGCAACGGGTAGTTAGCACTTCTTGGTGATCGCACAGGCATCCAACGCGCACCCGAAGACAGCATCTCTTTCAATTCCACATTGACCGCCTTTGGACGGCGAGGATGCTACTGCCAGCAGACATGTCGCAAGCATGGTGAGCACAAGTCGTGCGGTGACGACAAATCATGTGCGTCATGTCAGTTATTGGGGCTGTCCGCGAAGTGGGTGTTGTGCACCAAGCTGCGTTACTCTGAAGAGCTTGCCGTGCATGTAGGTAGACAGACCCAGATCCACGTAAGGCTCACCCATCTAGAAGCTTGCAGGACTCTGGGCAAAGGCGCTGTCGTTGTTTGCAGAGCTTAGACGAACGTCCCTGCAAGCTGACGCAGCTACTGAAGGAGGTGCCCTCGAAGTAATCTTGAGTCTTTGTCTCGACCCCGTGCTTACATCGGTGCCTTTGCGTGAATCTCTTAACATACCGTCTTGCAGATAGGTCTTCTCGCGATGTTGCACGCGATGGAGCAGAAGGGGCAGTGGCAAAGAGCAGCTGTTCGTTTGAACGCCGCGGCCGAAGACGGTGCTTGTTATCGCTTGCCGCTCGTCTCCTTTTGGGCGACACGGCCGTGATGTTCGATCCTGAGAGTTCATCTCTGCGGTATGAGACGGTCTTTGCTTTGCGAAGGCGCGCCGTCAGCGCAGCCACCTCTGCATGTGAGAAGGGGACTGCTTGGGAATTTGCTGCAGCTGTGGTGGGAGAGACCAGCTCCAAGGGCCTCAGGCCAGATGAAGTCTGCATCAGCGCCATGGTAAGTGCACTGGAAAACTGCAGTCGCTGCCTGGCTGCGCTTGAAGTCCTTGTAGGCGACACCTAAGAGACTAACCCGCCAACAGTTGCCGTTTTTGCAAAGCATTTGCAGGGTGGCAGGCTGCATTGGCAGCCGTGTCACTGATGCCTGCCGGCGGCTTGAGCACTGACGTGGTCAGCTGCAGCAGTGCAATCAGCGCCTGTGAGAACGCTTGTCGCTGGACAGTGGCTGCGGTGCCCTGCACACAATTCATGCAACTGGCTGAACGCGTTCTCGCTGCAATGCCGTGCTGCACGCGCGAAACGCGGCTGCATCGAAATGCAGAACCAGTATACTCGCTGCATCTCGCTGCATCGAAAACCCAGACTTACTCGTAGCAGATATAGCGCACCTCAAAGCAGCAATGTCAGGTGCTTCTGCGGCGCTTGGCTAACTTGAGCTTGCTACCGTCACTCATCACATTCAACTCCATCACGCTGACATGTGCACGGGTGGCTCTCTGGCAAACAGCGCTACACTTACTGCGGCTGCTGACGCCTGCTTGCACTCACATGTGTACAGTGTATATGTTTATGCTAGATGTCATGATGCGCGTACAATCTTCGAAGGACTCCGTACAGTGCTGACCGGACAAGCTTCAACGCAGCTCTTGTTTCACTTGCCCCCAAAGGGAAGTGGCAGCAAGCGGCAAGACTAGTGACCGACATGATGTCACAAGGGGAGTTGCCGGATGATCTCAGCTGCGACTCTGCTTTCACTGCATGTGCGAGGGCATCTCAGCCACTTGCCGCAGTCGCTTACTTGGGGACTGTGCAACATTTCGGGGAGAGCCTTCTGTGTGCCGAGGAGCGAAAATGACCTCATGACTATGACTTCAGTTTGTGATTTCATGGTGTCGCACCCGGCTCCACTCGGAAGGTGGCGCGCTACTTCATTTCAACGGGCCGGCCGCTGCCCTAGTCCGGTAGGCATCAGCAGTCACCTGCACAATGGGAGCTCAAGGTCTAAACCCCTGAGCAAGACCTAGACTCTAGACCTCGCCACTACTCTGCGCACCCGGTGAAAAACATCTGAACGGCTGGTGCTGCTCAAAAAGCCTGATCGACGCTGCACGAGCAGTCGAATGCCGGCAATGTGTCAATGATCAGGTCCTGACGAGATGCACGTGCAAATGCACAGATTCGCCGAGTTGTTCTGCACAGTTGCCGACGGTGTCCGCATTTGTGGCTCATGCGGCCCGCTCGCAGCCTTCGACGTTGCGGCAGGGCTTGCCTTGGTTCGGCATCGCATTCGTTCTGCAGACACAGCATAAGTTGTGCATGCACAGCACAAGTGCAGCATTGGCACCTATGCCTTCCTCTGGTTCAGGGCATGCATCGTTCGGCCAGAGACAAGCTGCGAGATCATGCTGCAAGGCTGTAGAGCTCTAGCCTCAGCTAGTCAGCTCGTTTGCGACAGCGCTCCGACATTGGCAAAACGCGTGTGAGGCCTGGCGTCCTCGCCAGACCTCACGTTCGCGACTCATAACACAGCCAAGTCCTGAAGCCTATGTTGCCAAACCGGAGGCACATGCCTGCGGGCTGCCTGGCGGGCGCATCCATTGCAGGTTGCGTGCAGGCAGCCCGTCAGTTCGTGCCGATAGAAGTATGTCTGTGTGTGTACCTGATCATTGACATTGCTGAGCTAGAAAGACTGGTTCTCGCCATTCCCGCCAGATTTGGGTCGCAGACGGCAGGTGCAGCTAAAGATGCTGTGGGGCACTTGGCAGTCCAATCGTGTCGCAAGCGCAGCTGGTCTTGTGGGTCTTTCCGACGCCAGGCATGGTCTCATCGAGCCTTCCTGACCTTAGCAGGCGTCGGACGGTCCAAGCGCTTCTGTCGTCGACATCATGCTGACTTGGCCGAACCCTGGCACACGCTGTCCATGACAGGCGTGGGTCTTGGATCTGCTTTTGCGGTGAACAAGGCGCATCGCCTCCACTAGCTCTGACAGTAAGATACCATGACCATCGCTGAATACTCGGCCATGTTGCCATGCCAACAGCTTGCAATGAAAGGATAGGCGGAACTTCAAGACTATTTATTGCTAAATTCGGGCAGCATGAGACCCATGCTGATCACTTCAAGCATTCCGAGCCGAAGCACATGGTAGAGGCTAGCACAAAACAGCACTGGCACAGACTTGTACGCCTTGTGCTTTCAAGCGCTGCCTTGAAGGAATCGACCACGGCCGGCCACTTAAAGCTCGGACATCATAGAATACGGCAAGTGGTGTATCACAGCACTTTCGGCTTCAGTTACTTTTAGTTCGTGTGCCGGGTTGTGTCGCTAGCGTGCCATCAAGCAACACCGGAGCAGTCCCTGGACGCAAAGGCACGGTCGGCCGAGGGAAAGTCGTCTAGCCCTCAGCCGCAAGAAGCTGTCTTACTCCATGCCACTCGCCACGTCCCGGACATGATGGGTTGGAGGCAGGCCAGCCGTGTTCTTGGCAGGCAGAGCCTTTGTGTGGTTGGCGAGGCGGACCTGTGCTCTGTGTAGCAGACGCATACCCGGAGATCAGGTGTTGAAAGTTTATCCCATGGAGCGTTGCTTGCGATTTCGGCGTATATTGGGTCTGGCGGCTATCCTCGTCTTCATGCTAGCCACAAGGCTCACAGGGCCTTGAGGCTGCCGTAGCTGCTGAGTGCAGAAGGGGCGCTGAACAGACATAACCAACATCCAGAGCACTCCGGCTGCAATGTTGCTAGCCCAGCAGAAATGCTACTTGGCGAAACGATTCTATCATCACTACTAACTAGCAGAAGTGTTTCTCGTTTTGCTAAAGCCTCCTTCTGCGATTGCCTGGTTTTCCGTTCGATGCATCACGGCAATGGTCGACACTTCCAATGTGAGCAAAGCACACGAGGCGCGCTGTACCTGCGCTGCCGTTGTTACGTGAATAAGTAACAAGGAGGAATTGCTTCTGCATTCTGACAGGAACTGGCAGAAGTGCACGAAGTGGCAAAGTCATTGAAATGCATGACTTCTGTCTTGGCGCGTGCCTAAGACCAAGTGTCATCTGGGCAGCTCTGACCTGGTATGCCTCCAAGGACAAGCAATTAGGACGTCTTGAAGCCAAATGCGCGCAAAGTCTGAAAGGGATTATCGAAGCCGGTCTGCGGTTAGTGTTGGCAAGTGATGGCCAATACATCTCAGCGCAGGCTTCAGTTGCAAAGTGAGTGTCCGCACTCAGCATCCTGTTTCGAATCTACATGAAGGTTTGCCGAACTTGCACTTTCAGCACCGCTGCCTCGCTGCATCCGAGGAAGACATCAATCGATGTCTGCAGAGGTTGGAAGAGGAGGTCAAACAGGCTCGATCGTCAATAGCTGCTGTTGCCTCGATGAGCCGGGGTGATTCGGAGCGTCGCAGTAGCTTCCTGCACGCCAACACATCCGGCAGCTTTTCAGGAGAGCACATTTTTGGGCAGCTCTCCGTATTTTTTGTGCAAGGAGGGCTTCAGAGCATTAAGGCCATATCTTGATGGACGGCTGCGAAGAAACTGTGTTGTTGGTGGTGGTGGTTGCTGTGGCAGCCTCTGCTGCCCCACTGGAATTATGAATTGGCAGCAGCAGCACCACCACCACCACCCACCACCACCACCAGCCTGCCACCTGCCGCACTCACATGTTTGAACAGCCCCGACGGCGAGAGCGGCAGCAGGAGCCGTCCCTGACGGCGGCAGCGACGACCAAGAAGTTGCCGACGACGTTGCGACGACGACCATGATAATCGCGATGACGACGACGATAGTGACAGCCGTCACACTGTGACCACGACAACGACGCCTACTTTTGCATGCACAGCAGTCGGCTCGTAGCTTGGATCCATGCATGAGGCCATCTCCGATCGTGATCCGCGTTCTCCACCGGATCCGAAAGGTGAGCAGATCGTGGGCTATCAAGCTCCGTCTCGCCCCAAAAATGTTGCCGTTGTGGTCTGCCTGCTCTGCATCCTCCGTTTCATGAGCTTGGGCTGAGGATCTCTTTGCCGATACGGCATCGCGGCGCAGACGCGGATGAGGAATGCGGAGTTGAAATTGCTTGGCGCTGCACTTCAGTGTAGGGATCTGTCAACAAAGATGCCGATGCTAATGAAGATCAGGAGCACAGGCGATCCTTCGACGATTCAGTGCAAAAAGAAAGGTCGTTGGAAGATGAGCAAGTGATGCTATCAGAAGGCGATACTCCGTCACCAAAGGCCACTTGGCGATGGACGGATGAGTGCCGGAGTTGGTGAAGTTCTCGCCAAAAAGGCGTAGGCTTAAGCCAAGTGTCAGGGCCTATTACTTTCTGCTTTCCGACTCTGGCTTCAACTCTTGCCATCGGTCCTTGCCCTTGTTTCCACCTACAGTCTAAGGCTGATGATGCCGGAGCGCTTGCACCTTTCAAAACGCCGCGAGAAGTCTGCCTTGTGGATCCAAGCTGGACGAGCAAGCTGGTGTGGGATATTTACGTAATGTGCAGTTCTCAGATCAAGCACTCCAATGTGCTGACAACAAGTTCATGGGGTACTTGGAATTGCAATATCAACTGCAGTTGTTGTCCTGCACTCCTGACAGGCTTGTTGTCCTGATGGATGCAATGGTGCTGCCTTTCCAGCTGTCGTTCAAGAATAGTGACTCGTCCTGCCGAAGCGTAGGTCGCAGGTATGATCATGGATACGAAGCAACCAAATATATAAGTATATATCTACATGTATGTATGTGTGCATGTATATACTTGATATGGCCGCAAAGGCATCACATCTTCGCTTGCCACCTATATTGATATTTGCTTTCGGTTGCCGCCTGGATTGGCGTGTCCCTGCAGTTCTTGGCTTGCATCACATCAGAGTGTGAACTTACTTTCCATTGAACCACATCTCATGGAGTAACAAGACAAGCTATCAACAACGGGCCTCGATTTCGGTGCAGTATACGTACCTGTACATTGCACAAATGGGGATATTTGACGCAAATGATCGTCATTGGCCGTGCATCCGGCGCTCAGTCTGAGCAAACGCTGGAGTCATCAGGCAACAAAAGCAGGCCCACCACCACACCAATTAAGTAGGTGTTTCAAGACATTCCGGGAATAAGAACCAATTCTGAAGCAATCATGTTCGAAGTGACCGGAGGATGAAACAATGACAACATTTATAACAAGAGCTTTCATCGCCACTAGCATCATCATTATCGTCGCCACAACTATATCGAATCATATTCAGCCCATGTTGCAACGCCAGGGCACACATTCAAGGAGAAATGCCGCAATGGTATCAGGTGAATGATGATGGACGATGATTGTGACATGAGCAGCATGTCCCCTTCTCCAAGACGTGCTGGGAAGCGTCTGTATATTGCAGGGGTCCAGCATGGCTCAGATTCTTGCAAGTCTGCGTGCCAAGTCAAGGGGGAGGGCTGTAAGCTGCACGACTAATTAAAGGAACCCCCCTGGCACCCCGTTGCTGGCGCGTTAGAATCTTGACTGTGGTGTGTTGATCCCTCCAACACATGAAACGGTAGGCACATGGCGGGGGGCTAGCATTATATATATATATATAGTTATACAGATAAATAATTATATATATATATATATACTTACGCATGTACATTCATGTTTATGTGTGTGTATGTATAGATAGAGGTGTGTATATATATATATATATATAATTATATGTGCATATATATATATAATTATATGTGCATATATATATATATATAGCCCAGCGGGAGCCAAATTACATATATATATATATACAAGTTTGTATATTTATATTTATATTTCTATATTTACTTAAATTTATGTATATGTATGTACATGCGTGCATATGGGTATCCTTGTTCTTCTCCCACTCTCTCTCTCTCTCCCTCTCTCTTGCTCTTTGTGTTGTTTTGTGCTTACGTCTTGCGTACTTGGGCCATGCACACATGGACAGTGCCAGATCCTGTTTTGTTTGAGGTTATAGACTCATAGACGACTTTAGGATGCGACATCCAAGAGTCTAAGACTTTAGGGTGCGGGGTTGGGAAGAATATACTTGGGCTTCAACTCCGCAGGCAAGGTGAATGTTCAGTGTAACGGTCACCAAAAAATTTCGAGTGGTGGTCACGCTCAAGCTATTCCCCATGCGTGGTTTGGGGAGTCTATAGTAGACCCGAAAAGTTGGAAACCGGATTAAGGACAATTAGTGCTGGGATTCACTATACATTGCTCTCAAGGATTGAGGCTATCGGGTTTCCAACTCTTGGGCTTCTACTGTAGGGTCTAGATGGCCGCCACGGTCCGAGACCTCACGTGACTCAAGTAGGCAGGCGGCGCAACCCTAGAAAGCTCTCGACCAATGCAAGGCTATGACCCAGATGGATTTGATGACTTTTGGTTTTGGCTCACAACGATGACCTTCAGTGCGGCTACCCTTCTGCAGTTGCGACCTGCATGCCAAACAGGTAAGTGACTCCGTCTACATAGAGTATAACCAAGGATATCATCGCAAGCTTTAACACGGCCATCCCTCGTGGCGACGATGTTGATGTTGATGACGCCAAGGCAGTGCGGCCTGCAAAGGCTCGCAAAAAGGAGTTGTAGCAGCGATGTGCCCTGCAAGGAGACTCTCATTGTCGAGCGCCGGGTTATTGCTGTTACATACCTCAGGGGGTGGTTTGTGCTTGATTTCATCAGCACGGTACCCTGGAGCCGCATAGCTGCCCGACTTGCACCAAGAAGTTCGTGCCTGGTAGATACATTGCAACCCCGTCGTTCGACGCAGCTTGCTTGTCCATCAGCCGGCACGTACTAGCTGCCAAGGTCGACACCATGGTAGGACCTGGTGGTGGGCCCATGGTCACCGTGGCAAAACTTGCCAAAGTGTGTCTTGGACAGGAAGCTGTGCGTGTCAGGCATATATAGTTCGGAGGCCGTGCCAGATTTTCGTTTTCTGGAAGCTTGGATTGCGTTCGTCTCTAATTAATTCTGAGGTTGAAATTTATTCGCATAATCCGCTTGATGAAGATGCTTCGTGCGAAGAAGCTCAAAGATATTTGGGAACAGGTGGAGAAGCGAATCGGTTCAGTTGCCATCGTGCAGGGGATGATGCTCATCCGCGTATTGCTGGTAGTCGTTGGCATTTGTCATTGGAATGCGTGTCTCTTCTGGATTGTCGGGGCAAGAGAGAGCATCGTCACGGACTTCATGCCTACGCCTGGAGCTGAGCTTTCCAACGTTGCCATCTTCATGCCTCGGTGCGATCTGCGGAGAATGACAGTTGTAAGTTGTGGGAGGACTCTGAAAGATCAATTCGATCGAATGCCACATTGGACGACCATCTCCAGGATTTGCTGACAGCATGCTTACCATGCAGCGTGTGGGGGCATGCGCTGAGCCCCAACAGGAGTGATGCCCCAGATCTGGACCCGTGGACCTATGAAAGAAAACCAATGCCCGGGCCCCACGCTGGACGGCAATTCGCAATATGTAGCATCTGTATATATATATACACACACACACACACACACATATATATATATATATATATATATGTATTTATACACATACATACATATACATATCTGTATATATACACATCTACATATGCCATCAAGTATTGTTATTCTTATCATAATGTCGGCATTATTTTGATTGCAGTCATTGTTTAATATTTCGATTGTTATTGGTAGATTAGTATTGTTCTTGCTACTATTATTGCATCATCTTCATTATTACATCCTTCCTGCTATGTTTGCTTGCTATTTTTATTTTCATTTTTTGGTCACCGTCATCATCTTCTTCATTATAGTATTGCCATTGCTAGTCCTGTGCACATGGTATTTTAAAACGAAACAATATCATACATGATATAACGTGGCATACCATAGGATAGTGTAGTATAGTACAGCATAGCACAATGTTATATTTTCTGCAGAACATAGCATAACATAAGATCAGGTAGCATATGAATATGACTATTCATACTACTGCAAGACAAGCAGATGTAATGTACAGGTTTTCCAGAGTTTTATGCCCCTTCCGTCTGAGGTTTGAGCAATACATCTTCTGCTTCTACTGGACTCTTGGGGTCATGCGAACTATGCCAGCCGAAGTGACTCCAGTCAACGCCGTCGAGCGCAGCTTGCCTGCTCTTGACTCATCGCCCATTTCGAGGCTAAAGATACGGGCAGCTCGTGCCAGGTTGTCGTTCTGAGCCGTACCTTGAAATGAGTCGCATCCCGTAATGCCCATAATCTTGAGGTGTCTTCGTCCTCTGCTTCATGTTCTTTGCATTATCGGCTTTTGCCGTATCCGTTGCCTCCCTGACGCAAGCCTACTTCAAAATCAGCTTCTCGGACTGGATGCCCAAGCAAGTTCTCAGTCGCATGCGCATTGCCCAGCTTCACCCACGCCAACTGCGAGGTGAGCGCGGCCGGAGCTTTAATGATGAGATGTTCGCAATCCGCATGCACCTCCACAAACTTCGAATGGAGGAGACATCACAGCGGAAGATCAAGGACACTTGGGCATGCACTGCTATTGGCCTGACACTGCCAAGCCTTGAAGCTGTAGGGAGGTTCAGTGGCCACGGTGGTCGACCGACAGCATGCCGTCAGCCCTTCTGCAAAGACTTGTACAAGCGTGTTGTCTGAGGAGTACCTCCACCACAAGTTCACCCGCCGGCGGATCATGGCCAAGGAGGCTACGCGTTTGCTGAGACTGAGACTGTGCCTGCCATCGAAGTGCGACAGAATTGCACCTTGCACCAGGCGAACTTACTCAAAGAGCTCCCTATAGCTCTAAAGGAGGAGGTGGAGAATGCAAAGGTGCTCCAGCAAGTGCACCATCTTCCATGCACCCGGATCGCAACAGACATCCTCGCCTTGCTCCCCATGCAAGCGCAAACGCTCGGAAAGAAGAGAGCTCCGTGAATTCGGGGAGCCGAGGTATGCAAGGCTTATCCAAAGAAGCGCTCAAACAAGTTTGCAAAAGCTACATGGCAGACAGTGAGAGAGCCCATGTTGTTGTTGTTGGCTAGCTAGCTGACATCTCGTCATGGCCGAGGTGCAGAGTTCCTTGACATTTTGCCGGGCGAGCATCTGGTTTGCGCTGGAGATGAAGCAGCCTCAGATCGAGCGAAGCTCTGCAGTTGTCCAGCACGTTGCAGCGCAATACGCGCAACCCTGACCCCAGGTCACACACTGCGCCTGGGTCGTTTGCTCCGGGACACTTGCACGATCTGGCATTCCTCAGAGACGTTTAGCGTTGATGAACCTTTTGCTCTGCAACGCCACTCTTGATGTAACTCAGGACTATCAAAGTTGAGGATGTAATGGGTCGAGACCCCAATGGGACGAGCCGTGATGTGTTGAGATTGAGGAAGTAGTTTGTTGATGTACGTTGCATACCGAGGACAGAAGTGCGTTGTGGATGGAGATCCACCGGTGATTAATGCGGAATGCCTTCAACAACAGGACCAGCTGGAATTTCGTCACTTTCAGTGTGATTACTTCGCATCCGACGCCTGCCGCATCCTGCCGCCGATCAGGAGCCTTTTCGATCACCCACCACCGTCACAACCACGAGTACCTGCCACTTGATCGCACACGTTGCAGACGAGCGTTCGCACACGTGCACAATCAACAGCTTGTGGCTAAGAGATGCTGTTGGAATGCTCTTCAAATCTGCTCAGCCCATGGGTGCTTCACGAGGTGAGCTATACAAGCTAGAGAAGACGAAGTTCTTCGAAATTGCAGCCCACCACTTGACGTTCTTGGGCATGCAATCGTTTTGCTGGCTTGCGGTGTCAACCGGGGCCTGTCCAGAGTTGCAAGAAGCAGTTTGCTGCCGGAACGGGACGGGGCGGGGGGGGGGGGCAGGACGGCCAAAGAATTCCCACCTTGATCAGGAAGCAGCCCAAGATGAAGCGTCAGCAGTCTGGCCCGACTGCTCTCGTTGCCATTTGCTTAGTATGGCTGACGGCACGCGAATGGACAGTTTTGTTTGCAAGAGCCGTTCCAGCAGCATTCAGGTGGAAGAAGCGACAGATCGGGTCACAACACCTCATGCATCTGCTGGCGCAGCTGCTGCAATTTCAGCTGGCTGACAGGTGTTGGTTTCACATGTAAGGTGGCCTAACAGGCCGCCATAGGGTCAGGCATGCTTTCCAACCACATGGTATGCACAGAACCTGCGCGCCAAAGTGCCTGGAGCTCAAGGGATGCTCTCCAGGCGCATGGCCGCGGTGCGCTGGTTATTTCTGTCGGGCTTTTTAGTTCATTATTCATTGTATCCGCTGTTTCTGTGTTTTAATTGGCAGCCATGTGAAGCATGCGCGCAGAACTGGTGTTGTTGAAAACGACAGCTGGAATCAGGCTTGTTGCGAACCCTTTTCCTCATGTTTTTTGTAAACCAAAGACAATGGAGAATAGCCAGAAGCAGGATGCATCGGAGACACTTACTTCACTCACAAAGTAAAGCGGCGCAGAGATGGGTTCGTTGGATGCAAAGTGTTGCTGCAGTTGCAATGTGTGAATGTATTCCACGCAACGTCACAGAATCGCAACCCATTTTGTCCCATTCCTACCACAAAGTGTTGCTGCTGCTACTACCACTACTACCACCACCATTACGTAAAAGTTCGAGTGGAATACTGAAGCATGCCCGCAAGCGACCGACAGCAGAAAGGGCAGCGGTGGCAGGAACAAAGCGTTTCTTGTCATACCCTGCTTGTTAGGTTCGTGCTTGCAGGCACGCAAACCAAGCAAGAGGAGCCGAATCCAACAACGACCACTCCAGTCAATCTTCAGTGTTTCGATTGTGATCGTAGATTCTTAGCTGCATGCCCCGGCTTCGCATTTTTCATCAATAGTTGAGCATAGCTCAAGTCCAAGATGTTCGTGTGAGAATCACACGTCCACGACGGTCACGGCCAACTTTATTTCACCATTGTAACTTGATATTTGGGCTCTGCAACAGAGCCGGCTCCCGCGCCATGAGACGACAGCAGCTTCAGTTCAGGATTCACTACCACAGCGATCTGTATTCAAAGTTGATAATATGTTGACCATAAACAATAGATGTTCGGGATACCGCTCAACGCGCCATCCTCGGACAAGGAGTGAAGCACACGGCACGTTTTTGCAGCAGTTGCTACAGGAATGAAGCTGGACAAAAGCGGCATTTCAACTGCCTAATCCGCATTCATGCGGAGGATCTTGGAGTCCATGCTAAGTATTGCTACGTAGTAGAGAAGCAGCGAAGCGCCACAGGCACTCTTCGACTTCTTGCCTGTGAAGTTGCCAGATGGCCAGCAGGCCCGCAGCTGCATACTCTTGGCATAGGGACGTCGCCGCGGGTGTCGCCACCTCGCCCCAGAATGCCCTAGACTCCCCAGACCTGGAGACCAGTCCGCGAACCGTACCTTACATTGCAACCCCTTCTCCGACGAGGCCTTTCTGCCGCGGCCTGGAGGCAGCATTCGGATGTGATGATGCCGAAGCTGACATGCATGACATGACCGCATTGCAGAAGTTTTTTGCAGCTATTGATTGGATGTTCAAACGAGGCCTAAAGCTACTAGACTGGTTATGAAACGCAGGTTGAGGTGTTCCCGGATGCTGGCTGGCAAGTGGGTGTCCTGCGCAAAGGCTCAAATTGCAGCCGCAAGCTGTAGGCATTAGTCGCCGCCATGTTTAACCAGGTTACAAGGATTGTGGTGTTGTTGGCCGTCCTCCCCGCGGCCACTTCACAAGAGGCGGGAGATCTCCCGGTCAGCGAGGAGCCCGCCACCAACGACGCTGTGGAGAAAACAGTGGAGGCAGCAGAGGCGGCTCCTCCCAAGGCTCCAGCGGCCCCTTCCAAAGCTCCCGCTCCTCCTGTGAAGGCTGCCCCCAAAGCAACCCCTCCACCTGCACCCCCCGCTCCCCCTGTCACTCCAGCGGTCAACCCAGCTGTGGCGGCGGCCCGCCGATTGGAGGAGGATGCGAAGCAGCAGAAGGATGCTCTCAATCGGGACTTCTTGGATGCTTGCCGGAAATTCGATACGACCAAAATCGAAGATTTGCTTCGTCAAGGCGCGGTCAGGGTTCGCAATTCAAGCCGCTAGTACATTCCGTTCCAGACAGATCAATGACGTTTGGAATGCATCATTGCATCACTGAACCCACCGATCGGGGACCATGCTTGTTCCTGATTGCAGGTGCCAGTATTGATGATGTGCCACGGCAAGAAACTGGGTGCAGACGACTTTGTATAGTAGTATAGCCGCGTCATCGACCGAAGCTTCAGGCTCCGACTCCCACAAAATCTAGCCAAGGCATCGCAAAGTGGGCCAAGGTGGTCGGCTCTCGCTGATGCTGCGATGAGCTTAACTTTTAGCAAAAACAATTACCTGTCATTCTTGTTCGATCGTTTCCAAGCAAACTTTTTTGCGCGGTGCTGCAACAAGGAGTAATAGTACCTACGAGCCGCATGCGTTGCGACCCCTCCCAAGGCGGTGCATGGTCGGACTGACGCGGCCCTATATCTCTTGACCAAGAAAGCGAGTCCGGACGTGGAAGACAACCGCGGCCGCACACCGCTTTTCCATGCTGCCGCACGGCAGAAACAAGAGGATCGCCCGGGTCTCCAGGAGTTCAGTTTACGGGTCGATCCGCTGCTCTGCAGGAACTGGAGGTCGTGTTAAGCCTTTGAGGCAGTGCAAATCCCAGCAGGTCCCAGCTCAAAGTTCTGACACGCCACAGCTTCAGGTACGCTACAACCACGGCACTGTTGTCACAGAAATGCTCAAGACAGCCAAGAACCTCGGGCAGGGCTGCATGCCTGTGCTTCCTAGTGTCTACCACTTACTAGTCTTTGTCGGCTTCGGGTTTACAGCGTCACGCCCAGTCGTGAGATTGCTGCAGTGTAATGCCTCCTGACAGTGCTTCGGATGGAGATGGCGTTGACATGTTGACGCGAGCGGCCGGGTCCCCAACACAGTGGTAGCTGGACATGACGATGGATGGGCATTCTGAGTTTTGCAGAGTCCACTGATCACCTTGAGGTGTGGCAAGGGCAGACTGCCATCGCGCAAGCCTTGCTCACGGCTGGTGCACAATCCGCTGTGGCGTCAAAAGCCGCCTTTTGTCTGGTCTTATTTTGATTGTTGCAGTCTGCAGGAAGTGAGCTTTGTCTGCCGCAAACGATCTGATGCTTACCAGGCCAAGAACTCCAAGATTCCAGAGATTCGCAAGATGTTTGGCTTCAGCGAGACGGTGCCTGCACCAGCAGCGACACCTTCCGCTGCAACGCCTTCCGCTGCAGCGCCTTCGCCGCCTTCGCCCCCGCTGCCTGGCGTCACAGTTCCTTTGCCAGTGTTGCAGTAGTTAGAAGAAGTCTGTCAGGACGTTGTTCGCTGGCGCATAGCTTGCCAGATGAGCTGCCAGCGCCAGGCCTACGTGAGACACATGCTTGGGTACCAAGACTTGCACGAATTCTTGTGCGGTTCTACGTAGTAAGAGTTTGACTTATGCGAGGGGACTAGGCATTGGTAGGCTAGTGTTTTGCATCCTTGCAGTCCGAGCTTCCACGTGGCTCCATCGGAGCTCCTGAGCTGCGGCAGCGGACATTTGCGGACGCAGAATCTCAGATCTCTCGTCCGAGCTTTCACTTTGCACGGACCTTGTATTCTAGAAATTGCTCTCGCTACAGGTACCTAAGCAAGCCTTTAAGAGTTGGAGTGTAGCTTTTCCCGAGCTTCTGTCGCTCCAGGTCCGAATGCGTGTGCCAAAGAATTCGGTTCCGTTAGATTTCAAACAGTTGGCAGTCTGTGCGGAAAAGTCGGCGTTCACATCAGCACGAGCTGCACGCATTTTGCAAAGGCATAGGTTGCTCATGCCCACACGATGACCTAGGAACCATGAGAAACCATGAATGACTGGCATTTGCAGATTCCCGAAGAGCAAAGCACACACATGGAGCTGGTGGCAGGCGCACCTTTCAACGTGTGTCTTGCAGCGAAAAGGCCCTGCTCATTGCTCGACGTCGGTGTTTATTACCGCTTGACAGTGCCGGGGAAAGTGCAATCATGCATCGAGGGACTACCGAGTCGCCTGATGCGATTGTTTTATGGTTAGTTCTCGGAATCGGATGTACGGCAAGTTGAATCCCTGAGGTACCCGCGTAGAGATGTTTTAGTGCTGGTGGTAGCGTTGTCCACAATTCGCCAGTGACAGGCTTGGTGCCGATGTCAGCTACCTCGGTGCCCTGTCTACCGACATGTTCGGGGAGGCAGGAGGACATCCTAAACTCAAAATCCATGGCAGCAGCCATGACTCATTGCATGTCCTGCCAGGAGCTGCACAAGACCCTGGAGTCAGAGAAGGTGGACATGAGCATGGCAAGCGCCCCGACGTAGCATGCGCTGGTAACTTGATGCAACTGTATGCTTCTGTATATTTACGTAACAGGTATACAGTATCACATCCATGGCGTTGTGATCGGAATTTGGCACTGCCATGCCCTCCTGAGGCTCCACGTGTACCGAACCCTTCCACGCTGGCGTTTGTACCTCCGACACGTTGCAGGCTTGCAATTGTCCTAGTACCTCCTCACACAGGATGAATATGGGGATTCGACCATGCACTCAAAAGCTAGTTGAATCTAACCACATTGTCATTGTTGAAGTTCTTGCCATCAGTGTTTTTGCCGAAGGGGGGATCTTTAAGTCACAGGCATTCGACCGTGCGTCAAGCAGCGACAAACTCTTTGCAAAGCCGACGGCATAAAACGGACTGCATGACAGCCGTGTCCTCACGCTGCTACTCCTGTTCTTGCTCCTGCTCCTGCTCCTGCTCCTGCTCCTGCTCCTCCTGCTCCTGCTCCTCCTCCTCCTCCTCCGCCTCCTGCAACTGCTGTGCTGCTTCTCCACCTACTGCAAACAACGCTGCTGCTGCTGCTGCTGTTGCTGTTGCTGCTGCTGCGGCTGCTACTACCTACTTCTACTACTGCTTCTGCTACTACTTCTTTTGCTTCTACTCCTGCTTCTACAACTTCTACTACGACGACTTCTACTGCTGCTGCAGCTACTCCTCCTGCTGCTCCTCAAGCTACTACTGGTACTACTACTACTACTACTACTACTACTACTACTACGACAACGACTGCGGTTACGATTGCGACTACGACTACGACAACAACAACAACTACTACTACTACTACTACTACTAGTACTACTACTGATACTACTAGCATTATTACGACCACTACTACTACTACTACTACTACTACGACTACGACGACGACGACGACCCAGTTGGTTGACAGTCGAAATTTCGGAGCTTTCTACCAAGCTTCAGGTCATGACGCAGCAATGGGAGCGCCGCGAGGGCACTTCAACCTCTGAAGGTAAAATCCGGCTTTGGTGCATGCGCAACCGTACATCCTAAACCCCGAACCCTAACCCCAAGGGTCCAAAGGACCCAATAATCAGGTACTTAGGTTTCGGATAGTAGTTATGTAGGTTAGAGTATATGATTATTAGGTACTTGGACCCTTAGGGTAATTCCTAAACCCCTAATCCCAGCTAGAAGCCTAATCCCTAAAGTCTATGTTGCGGCTACCGGATGGAGGGGGCTGAGACATCTATGGGCAGGACCTACCTTAAACCCTAGACCCTAAACCCTAAACCCTAAACCCTAAACCCTAAACCTGTCGTCTTGGGCGAGTTTTCAGGAAGGCTCTCGGCCGCGAATACAGGAGCCTTTGTCTCCAGAGAAGATTTTTTTGGGGGGGGCGGACGGAGGGGCGGGGGAGGGTATATGATGCTATCTACCTATCTATCTATATGTTTCTTCTAAGGAACCGTAGAAGGAATAATGATAGTAGTTTTGCATGCATTTGTATGAGCCAAACCCTGCTTCGGGCATCACGGACTCTCAGACTAAAGGCAGTTGGGCATCGGACCTGCATTCTTCTCGGGCCACCAACAGTCGCAACTTTCCTCTCCTGTGGGGCTGGCTGCAGAATTTACCACAGCCGCCTCACATCACTGAAACAAAGACCCAACACATTCGGGGCTGCTGTGCTACGGCTTCAAAGTACCCCTAGACACTATAATATAGGGGCCTAAATAATTACCTATACTATGTTGGGGGCTCCTTATTAGAATTATAGTATAAGGGGCCCCAAAACCCTAATTCTAATTATTAAGGCCCCTGCATTACCCCATAAAACCCCCATGCGACCTAGTAGAGAGTAAGCCCCCTATGCCCAAGTTACTCTGGGCTCCTGAGAGATATGTCCGCCATCCTTCCGGGCCTCTACATTTTGGGATTTTGAGTGCGGTTTAAGGTTTAGGTTTCGGATCCCGATTCTAGTCCCCTAACGGTCCATGCACCCAAATCGTAAAAACCTTTCGCCCTAGAGTACTCACTAAACAAGCACTTTGGGGCCAGAGTATATACTATTTGAGCACGCTGTTGCTGAGATGGGGGTTTCTGAGAATAGGGGACTCTAATATAGCACCCTAAATAATAGGATCCTTAATATAAGGACCCCAAAATAAGGTACCCCTAATTCTCGGAAACTCCCAGATAGGGTCGGTAAGCGGGTTTGCGAAGTAGGAGTCTGCAGTTGCCCTGACCTAGCAAATCCCTGGACACTCACATTCCCTATGGGGCCCATATTGAATTCTGAGGTTGGTTTATTTTGAATTGAGCGGTTAGGGTGTATTTCTTTTCTGTTTGAGTCTTTCTAGCGTGATTCGGGTTTACGGGGACCTGAATGATCGTCAAGAGGCTTTGGCAGTATTGTCTTATCTACCTTTGCTATGCCCAAAAGGACATCTGGACAGTGCTGAGTGCATCGTCTGCGCTTCAAACCCGGGAGGAAGTCACAGAAGTTGGTGTCGTCGGTGACCCCAAGGCTCCATGTGCCCATATAGCACAGACTTAGGCCTTAAAGTACCTATATAGGGACCCCTTTAAGGCCTGAGTATGAACTATAAAAGTACATGTAGCCTTTGGGTGAAGCCTCTTCACGGCTGGACTGTCTCGGGGTGTTTCAGCCCTGACACAGAACGCCTGACCTACAACTCCAGCAGAGACTAGCCGGAGAGAACCACCGCTTAGACCCAAACGCCTGGCTGCGCGGAGGTTTCGAAAGTTCTTCTTGTGCGCTTCGTTCGGGGCTACAGTGCCGGATCTACAGCTCGTGTTTAGGTGACAGGAATTGGGGGGGTTGAGGGTTTAGAATTTGGGCTGAGGGTGGAGGGCATGGCGCTTCAGGTTTTGGGGCTTTGATGTCAGGGCTGTCACGGATTCTTATGATGACATCGAAACAACTCCGCTGTTTGCCGGCACACGGATCCGCGGGTCTTCTTTCAAACACAGGCCATTGCGCAGAGAATACGCTCAGCAGCACTCTTGGAAACCAGTTCTCAGGGGCTTAGGGTGTAGGGTGACCATCAAAGGAGACCCGAAATCCAAAGCACGAATCTTGCTGAGAGTCTCTGCACGGCCAATACGGCACCGAGCAAATCTCGTCATGTGACATGTGGGCATTATCAGCTTCGAGACGTTGTCCCCTAGACCCTAGACCCCCAACAAGCCCGACACCCTAACTAAAATCTCTACATGGGGTTCCCTAACATATATGCTAGATAGGAGCCTAATTCGGAATGACCCCAAACAAGGCATCCCAAATCCCAGATCTTGGGGGGTGAAGTCGATATGATTGAAGCCTCGAGCTCAAAAGAGCTGGACATGGGCTCCGGCTTATGCTACATTTCTGATATCCTAAACTCTCAACCCTAAACCCTAAACCGAGGAGCCCTAAAGCTTTGTAGTATGTTTTATCGGGCTTAGGGTCTTTTGGATTTAGGGTCGTAGGGCCTTGAGGTTTGAGGGTTTGTTTAAGGTGCTGGGCTGCGCCTTGCTGTCATGCGGTTTGGCAGGGAATGAGGTGTGAAGAGTGTAGAGTCCGGGGTTTAGGGTTTAAGGTTGAGGGTTTAGGGTTCAGGGGCAGGGTTTAGGGTTTAGGGTTTAGGGGTTTAGGGGTTTAGGGTTTTAGGGTTTTGGGTTTAGGGGCAGAGACCCTGGAAATTTCTCAGAGTCTTAGGATCTGTCCGGCTGACTAGGATTTTCGGCACAGGGGGTCTATAGTCCGAAACCCCATACCCTCCTAAGCCCCTCAACGACAGACCCTAGACAGAGACCTATCAGTCTACAAAGCCCGTGAGCTACAGTCTACGGTAGAGTCTATGGTCTACCTATAGTCTCCATTGTAGTTCCTTTTTGGGGGATGCCTTATAAAATCCTTAATATATAATTGGTTAAGCCAAAAAAGGAACTACAATGGAGACTACAGGTGGGGTCCTACATTCTCCGACCTAACTGTTTTCTTGACTAAGGATCATGATCCGGAGCCGACAAAGACTAGAGAGCCAAGGCATCCAACAACAAGAACTGCAGTGGAGCCCCTGAACCGAACACTCCACGCCCTGATGGGAGTCTCATAAAAGAAGGGACACGAAACGACCCCAAACTATTGGTTCTGCTACCCAAAACGAGCTTATTCACCACTCATGTGGATACATGTAAAATTCGTGGTCCTTTTTCCGGGAACCCTGTAAGTTCTACTCTCAAGACGGCATGCGATAGTTTAGGGAACCCCACAGAGACACTGATTTAGGGTTTAGGGTTTAGGGCTTAGGGGTTAAGGGTTCAGGGTTTAGGGGTTTAAGGTTTAGGGTTTAGGGTACCCTAAACCCCTAAACCCTAAACCGTGGCTTATTCCAAACCCTAAACGCCAAACCGCCAAACTCTCCATACTAGTCTATGCTATTCGGCCCACGATGCAGACAGAGAGCTCGGATTCGTAGCAAAAAGTTTTTATAGTCTCCATTGCAACGCCTTCTGTGGTTTAACCAATGATACACTTTGGATCCTATAAGACAACCAGACAAGGAATTACTATGGCGACTATAGGTTGGGCACAAGCTTGCCCGGGTCTCCCTGAAGCCGGCTGAGCTGTCAGAGCGGTTTACGCTTTAGGGATTAGGGTTTAGAGTCCAGGCCCGGAGAACCCAATACCCCTTAAGTAAGAAATATACCTTAAGTCATAATACTAAGGCCCTTACATTTTAGGGTATATTTCTTGATTAAGGGGTATTGGGTTCTCTGGGGGGTTTTAGGGTTTAGGGTCGGAAGCGTGGCAGCAAAGGAGGGCTTCTGCAAGCTAGGGCGCTCTTGTGGTCCGTGCCTGAACCTACAAGACTTGCTACTTGGAGGCCCAGGGGACTTAGTAAGTAGGTTGTAAGTAGAGTTACAAGTACCCTAAATGGAGTTACCCTAATTATAATTCTACTTATAACCAAATTACTAAGCCCCCTGGGCCTCCAAGTAGAACATACAAGTTTGTCATTTGTCATGTGGGTGGTTGTCAAAATTATGGTCCCAAAAGGTCCTTAGTATAATACGGCACCTATTATTTAGGGTACCCCAAAAGGGACCATAATTTTGACAACTACCCATGTAGACGTTGCAGGGAATCGGGAACTACAGAAAAGTATGTGGGTTTAGGGTTTAGGGTTTAGGGTTTGGGGTGTGGTGCTCAGTTACAAGGATCCTCTCACTGCAGTCCGGACCCATTGTCTGTAAACTACACTAAGAGCTTTTGAACCCAGAGAGCCCAATACCCCCTAACTAAGGAATATACCTTAAATTATACCGGCCTTGATATTATGATTCCCTAAACCCCAAAACCTAAACCCTAAACCTTCCCCAATTAAAGGGTATTGGCCCCTAAGCCCTCGGTATATTCCTTATTTAAGGGGTATTGGGCTCTCTGGGAAGGGCCTAAGACAGCAAAGCCCCTCCAGATCCAGGAGGGCAGCACCGAATTCATCAAATCCCGGCGCGGGCTTCACAGAGCTTACTTGGTTTAGGGTTTAGGGTTTAGGGTTTTAGGGTTTAGGTTTAGGGTTTAGGGGTTGAGCAATTAGTAACATACAGGCGCCTTAAGGATTGGAAAAGAGTTCTGGGATATACATACATATAACACGTATATATGACAACTACTTCAGGAAACACCGAAACCGAGGGGTGGTTAAGATGGATAGCAGGCTGGGGGACCCCGGCTCACGGAGTAGCGCCCGGCTTAGGGTTTAGGGTTTAGGGTGTGTCTAACTTGCAGTCGATTCGTATAACCCTGGCAGACGTCTGTACAAGGCCACAAGTGATCAGCCTGAATGAGGTTCTCCTTCTCCGAACTATAACGATTGCCTGCTTAATTGCTGAGTACCATGGTCTTTCATGTGCGCTTACTCATTTTTCGAAGGCACCTGCACGCCACCTCAAAGGATCAGAATGCACAAAGACAAGGCCCTAAGTGCACAACCCTGTGCTGGACACTGCAAGTGCTGAAGGTTTTGCTTTCAACCCTAAACCCTAAACCATAAACCCTAAACTCTCAACCCGCACAGGAATCTGAAGCCTCTCAGTCAGGTCAATAGGAACGGTCTCCAACAAAGACCGGGCGGCCGACAAGGCCTTAGAAAGGCAACGGCTGGTTTAGAGGGTTTAGGGTGTTAAGGTTTTAGGGTTTATTAGGATTCAGGGTTTAGGGTTTAGGGTTTAAGGTTTAGGGTTTTAGGGTTTAGGGTTTAGGGTCTAGGGGAGCCTGGCCCTAAACTTCCACAACCACATGCTTTCATGTTGGCCCCAAATATAAGCACTCGCGACGTTCATGGAGATCCTCAAGGACAGTGAGTTAGAACCATCCGTATGCAAGTGCTCGATATTGATGTGGTATGCATGGTATTAAGGAAACCGAAATCTGCTACTGGTAACTGACCACTCTTTTTCTTATCGCATCATGTCTCAAAGATCTCAAAGGAAGCACCCGTGCCAAAACCATGTCCTGAATGCCAGTGCAGGCTTGAAGGCAAGAGCATGCGACAATGTTCGAGCGACGCACGAGAGACGCACATCCGTCCACGCGCCTCTGTCTCCATGTGCCTGTATATACAACTATGTAGGGATGATGTACTCATATGCGTGAATGCTATGGCTGTGATTGCATTTGTCAAGCCGAGCACATGGAAATCAATCAACCAAGTACACCCATCCTTACATCCATCCATCCATGCATGCAGCAGACACACACAAATACGGATACGGGTAGAAACGTCGACACACAGAAACAGAGGCAGACAGGCGAACAGACATGCACAGGCACAGCTACCTACGCCCACTCAAACTCCAAACACACGCACACACACACACGCAGACAAACAGCATTCCCTAAATACCCCAAATGCGAAGGCCTCAGCCAATCCTGAATCCTGAAGGCTCGACATCAACGGAAACCCACCAGGCAGCGAGCTAGCCGCTAGCCATCCGCCAGTACCTGGTCGCTTATACCCTACCCCTTTAAAGGTTACCTGGTCTTATTGTTAGGATCTGTTATATACACAAATACCTAAAAATTATGGTAAAAGCACGACGAGCCTACGGGTACCTGATGAGCTGGAGCTGAATATGTTTGGGAAAGGGCTGGGGGCGTGGGGGGATTTCGGCTTCTGCAGGAACGTTTTGGGGTTTAGGGTTCAGGGTTAAGGGGTTTAGGGTTTAGGTTTTAAAGATTTAGGGATTTTAAAGATTTAGGGGTTTAGGGCTTAAAAGTGCAGGATTTGGGGTTTAGGGGGGCTTTGGACCATTTGGGGATTGGGGGTGCTTTGGGCTTGGCATTCGGGGTTTCGGGTTTAGGATCCCTAAACCCTAAACCCTAAACCCTAAACCCTAAACCCTAAACCCTAAGCCCATCTTCTGGGCCAGGGTTTACAATTTGTTTGGTTTCCCCCCAAGCCGAGCCTCGCTAGCTGATGATGTACGTGTATATGCGGAGCATGGCTGAATAGCCTAGAAAAAGACGGATAGAGAGGGAGGGAGAGAGATACATAGATTCGATAGATAGATAGATAGATAGATAGATAGGTAGGTAGGTAGGTAGGTAGATAGACAGATGGACAGATAGGTGGATCGATAGATAGATGGACAGATAAATAGACAGACAGATAGATAGATAGATCGATAGATAGATAGATCGATAGATAGATAAATAGACTGATGGATAGATGGATAGATGGATAGGTAGATGGATAGGTAGGTAGATAGGTAGATCGGTAGATAGGTAGATAGGTAGATAGGTAGATAGGTAGATAGGTAGATAGATAGATAGATAAACAGACAGATAGACACGTAGATCGATAGATAGCTAGATAGATAGGTAGACAGGTAGATAGATCGATAGATAGATAGATCGATGGATGGATAGAGGGACCGATGGATGGATAGATGTGGGGATGGACAGCTGGATCGATGCACAGATAGATAGACAGATAGGTAGATGGATCTACGGGCAGACAGACAAACAGACAGACAAAGAGACTGAGAGAGAGAGAGAGACAGCGAGAGATATGAAGAGACAGCGAGAGAGGTAGAGAGAGGGAGAGGGATACATAAATAAATAAATAAATAAATAGATAAAAAAATAAATAAATA